CGATAAAAGAGGGTAGCAGAGGAGGGTAGCAGAGAGGAGAGGGTAGCAGGGAGGCAGACTTACTGCTGACCAAATCCAAGGAACGAAGAGGGTAGCTGGGAGGACGTAGGGTACAAAGACGGACCTTTGTAACCTTAGTGAAGAATGTTAATGTTAGTGTGGGGTAGTAAGATGAAGGGGGGAGGATCACTTACCTGTGGTTCAATCAATCCTTGGGGTTGTTAATGACTGGAAAGAGGTGTGTACAAGTGAGATGAGTAGTGAGGTGAGTCTGAAGTAGCAAGGTGAGTCTTGAGTAGCGAGGAGCGAGGTGAGTCTTGAGTAGCGAGGTGAGTGTTGAGTGGTGTGTTTCAGAGTGGTTCGGAAGTCAAATTTCATCAACCCTCCCGGAAAAAAAAAATTAGAAGGGGGCTAAAAGTGGAGTGGCCCCCATGATGAACAGAAAAAAATTAGATGAGAAATTGGGGATCTAAACCAACGCTGGGCCAGCTACGCTAACCGTAGCGCAGCGGAAATGCGCTACTTTGTAGCGTAGCGTTAGCGAAAAATCCGCCTTTCTGCGCTAACGCTACGCGCAAAGGGCACAGAAGTGCGTTAGCTGTTAGCGTAGCGTTAGCGCAGAAATTTGGAATTGCGCTAACGCTACGCGCTCAGGGCACAAAAAAGTGCCCGCTACGCCGCGCTACAGCGCTTTTTAGCGGGTTTTTTGCCTTTTTTGCCGCTAAAAGCGCTGTAGCGCAGCGTAACGCAGCGTAGCGGCTGTAGCGATGCGCTAACACTACCCAGAAGCAAGCCGCCTGTTAGCGGGGCTTCAGCGTAGCGTAGCGTAGCGGCGGTAGCGGCACGCTAACACTACAGAAAAAAGGGCCCGTTTTAGCGCCGCTACGCTAACGCTAAGTGGCCCTTTAGCGTAGCGTAGCGTAGCGGCCCAGCGTTGTCTAAACCCTCAACTACATGTTCCCCTCAGGGTAGCGCTAGTCATGTGGTCAGGGTGGAGCTCAGTGCCTCCCCCGGACAACATGCCAGCGCAATCCTTTAGCGTCACGGGTTTGATTCCCACTGAGATGATGCGCAGTTACGCTACAGTTGAGCCACCGTTACGCTACATATGTAGCGTAACTACATATGTAGTGTAGCGTAACTTAGCTTAATTTCCTATGAGTTACGCTAAATGTTAGCTGTACTAACAGTTACGCTATTGGTTAGCGCAAATTTTGTTAGCTTGGAAAAAGTTACGCTACTTGTTAGTTTAGTGGCAAAAATTTCAAGCTAACACTAAAAAAAAATTGAGGGAAAAATTTCATGCTACGCTGGCAGTTAGCTCAGCGGTGTGTAGCGTGAACTAACACTACAGGATTTCCAAAAAAAAAAGCCACTACGCTAACAGGTAGTGGCCAAATAGCGTAGTGTAGCGTAGCGGCCCACCGTTGCTTGTAGTGTTAGCATTTTTTTAGCAGATTTTTGCTACGCTACGCTGCGCTACAGGGCCAAAAAACCGCTAACCAGAGTCTTAGCGTCAACGGTGGGCCAGCTGCACTAAACGTAGCGTTAGGGTAGCGTAGTGTAGCTAAAATAAGCTAACATTTAGCGTAGTGTTAGCGCAAATCTGCAAATTTGAACTAACACTACGCACGCAGGTCTACGCTAAGCTACATTGCTTTTTAGTGGTTTTTCAGCCTTTTTTGCTGCTAACAGCGCTGTAGCGTAGTGGCAGTAGCAGCACACTAACACTACCCAAAAAAAGGTGTGTTGTTAGCGCCGCTAAAGGTTAGTGTAGCGTAGTGGGTGGTAGTGCTCACCAACACTACACAAAAAAAGGCTGCTGCCATGGCAGCTAAGCTAACACTAAATAGCCCTTTAGCGTAGCGTAGCAGCCCAGTGTTGCTAGTGTAGCTTAGTTGGGGCCTATGCACGTAGTGTTAGTGCAGATGTGGTGGAAGTCCACTACGCTACGCTAAAGTTTAGTGGAATTCCGCTACACTACGGTTGGTGTAACTGGTCAACTGTTGTACCTGCCACACTTTCACAACATTCTCTCCAGAACACCAGCCACCAGTCATGCAGTTAGAGGGTGCAGTAATGATATAGCATTTGTACTGGACACTCCACCTGCATTTCTGGTGGCTGGTAATGTGGAAGACCTGTTTTGAAAGTGTGACAGGTGCTGATTGTCATCTCTAATAAGGTTTGTTACCTCATTTTGATTCAATAAATTTAGGTGATAGGAAACTCTTCAGTAATTAACTTTCATTTACTTGATGTAACTCAATGAGTTGGATTTGAGTAATTTTCACATAAATAATTTCCTGGGGGGAGGGGGGGAGCTCTTCCAGTTCCAAGAGTGGTGATCTTATATCATATCTTCTTTGATTTCTCCATGTTGCTTGTCTTGACCTGGATATGATCATCTTGTAGTGTGGTGAAGTTGAGCTTTTGAAGATTACCTCTCAATTGATATTCAGAATGTTGAGTGTGCCACTGCCTAAAATAACTGCTTGGACAAGTCAGTCCAATGAGTCATTGGGCCGGCCTGTCCGGATCTTGCGGTCCAGCAAGAGCTTGGACTCAGCTCTCCAAGCAGATGTCCCTGCTTGTCAGCCACAAGACATGTAGGACATGTCCAAATGTCTGCATTGGCTCATATTTCCATGAGTTTATTTAATTTAGTGGTTCAATGACCATTCCAAAGGATGGTGTATATATTTACAGATGTACCTGAGTCCAAGTGCCCTTGGTTTCTTATTCTATAATTATATATGGGAATAGTTAAGTGCATATTCTCTCTGTATGTATTTACTGTAATAAGAGAGATGAGTACCAATAAGGATTAAATTAATCATCTCTCTCTGTATTGATTCACCAAGAGAGAGATGATGTCATATCCTCCACTTTTGGTTTAATCTTAATTTAAATACATATTTTGATCATTTATGATTTATATTCATAAATGATCATCTGCGAACCTGTCCGGTCCAACAGGCTGCCTGAACCCTGCCTTGCAATACTTAAGGGGAAGGCTTTCCCTCTAGGATTCCTTGCCCCAGAGATTATTGCCCTACAAACCTGTTTATCTTACCTCAATTAAGTGAGTGGGGTTTTTTATAATCTATTACAACATATTACAACCTTCCCCTACCTCAGACCTCTTCATCCCATCCCTAGACTACAGTAAAGTCACTACTGTAGCCTAGAAGAGAGTCTTACATACTCTAAGCTTGGCACTGCAAAGCTCATTCTGCGTGTGTCCCCTCTAACCCAGGGAGCTAACCCCTCTACTTCCTAGCGTTGGGGTTTTGGTTCTTTTCCATTGGCTGCCTCTGCAGTTATAGTGTGATCCATAAACCCCATCAACACCAGGTCACATAAGAGACCGGCGCTGACACTGCTTATCAACTGCTCAGACAAGCCCGTTCAAGCTCTTGTCAGACATCCAGGTCCAAGAACTGCTTGGACAGGCAGGCCCAATGACTCATTGGAATGGCTTTTCCAAGGAAGTGTTCTGATTAAGCTTAATGTCAAGAGATCACATATCTGTGAAACCTCCAATAGTTGAAATAATTATTCATTCAGTTTGATTCTCTATTGAAATTAAAAATATGTAATCTCTATTATTTTTTAAAATCTTTTGGATATGACAACAGTTCCCTAAGGTAGACAAGTGATCAGAAAAAAGCCATACACACCCAAGTCAGATAAAGTCCAAATAAGTAAACTTTGATACTTAGTCAAGGATCCTGGAGGCTTAAGAGTTCTGACATCAAGTCTTAGAGGAGGCTGAGCACAAAGTGATACTCAACAGAAAATTGTGTTCAAGACTTATGTTTTTTGATTGGCTGATCTCTATATCTAGTAGTAGAAAGATCAAGTAGTCTAGATACAGATTTTGCAAGTTGTGGTTAGAAAGCACATGAACTACAAGAATAAAAAATGGGTTGCTATAATTTTACAAATCATATTTTGCAAGACATATGAGGGGGTATCAAATTTAGAAAATCCATCATTAGAAACCAGTCACTTTTCCCAAAACCTTTGTTTGCATCAATGGTCCCCAAAAGGGGTCAGATGAATAATAGGGGGTATGAAATATAAGAAATCCACCATTAGAAACCAGTCAATTATCTAAAAATATAATTTTGCATCAATGGGCCCCCAAAGAGGTAAAACAAAGAGCCAAAATGTTTTCAAAAAATGGTGGATGTTTCCAAACCAGTCAATTAAAGAGTGGTGGATTTGGCTATATTTGATACTGCCTAATCAACATGTTTAAAAAAGGCTGCATTTTTTCAAACCAGTCAATTAAACAATGATGTATTTTTTTATATTTGATACCCCCTATTGATGCAAAATTGACTGGTTTCTCATGGTTGACTTCTGATATTTGATACCCCCTAATACATGTGTTTTGTCTCAGGAAAGTGAGACAACACAAGTTTGGTATTTTTGGGTATTAAAATTCTGAGAAGATACAAATAAACACATTATATCATCTTTTCTTGTCTTGCCTGTGTCAATTAAATTCTTTGGTTCCAAACCAAAGAAAATGGTGCCATTATCTTTGGTTTGGAACCAAAGGGCAGCCAGAGATGGGTGAGCTGCCTGGAGCTGGGTCCTCCAGCTGACTAGATTTCCAAAAACAAAGGCAGAGACAAAGTCTATGTAGCTCACACTACGGTCATCTGCTTGTCGCTTCTGTGTGAAGCGACTGCGGGTCGCAGCGCACAAATTTAGGTTGGTGGTATCCGACACCCGCAGCGACACCCGTGAACTTGAATGCGACAGCTATCGAGTTGATGCGACATCCAACCTTATTTGGTTTGATCAAGTCGCAGGCTAATCGATCTTTGGATCGGTTCATTCATGTGAGTAGTTTCCCTTTTTTCTCTTTATTTCGGCGTCTTCCTTTCATCCACGTTCTCATCTGACTTGTGCTTCTATTTCGTCTACTTACATACCCTAGTGCGCCGCAAATACCATTCACCAACGTTACAAGCAACGATCTAATGGATAATCCTTGGGGTTCATCTGAGCCCGGCGGCGCAAACAACAATCGGTCCCAAGCTAGTCAGCCTGCCATCATCCCACCAGCCACACTTCAAGCCCAAATCGAACAGATAGTCAAGGCCGCTGTCGATGTCTCTCTCAAATCAGCAGCAGGCGGGAAGAAAAGCAAACCGACTTCAACCCCGAAAGCCACTCGAGTCTCGAGAAAGGTTGCTCCCGAGAGCTCCCACAAATCAGCCTCCAAAGGAAAGGCGCCCGCCGCTAAGAAGGTCACGATCACCCCATTGAAAAGTCCCCCACCTGTTGCATCAACCTCCAGAAGATTTGACCGCGCCAGATCCGCTCCCCCCGAAATCAACACTACCGTTGTCGAGAAGCCGAAAAAGCCTCGCAAGTCAACCAAAGAATCACCTGCGAAGGCCCCTGCACGAAAGCGGAATCCTCGACAGATGCAAACTGGCGACTTTCCAGCATCCTATGCAGGCACTAAGGCAAGTTTCTTTCTTTCTTTTTTTTTTCTTCATTCCAGAAGTATTAAACTCATCGATTGGTCATTTAGAACGCAGTTTTTATCCATGTAAAAGTTCTCTGGGGGCTCTTGAAATCAGACTCGGTCCCCGAAGCTCCTGATTTGCGGGATCTGCAGGAGTTCTACGACAACTTTTCGAGGGAGGACCACGTCAACCAAGTCGCCAGTTTCGCCTCGTCTGGTCGTGAACTGATTGACATCAATCAAGTTCAGATTCTCAAGGACGCTCGCGCAGGACGTATTCGAATCGGAAACTCTTACCTTCACGTGGGGGATAACTTCATTCGATACGCCAAGGGACTCATGGCTCGTTTGGGTTTCCGAAAATGGTGTCCGAATCTCGAGGAAGACTGTGATTCGTTATACAACTCCGCTTGTCGAATTGCTGCTGTAACGACTTTCCAGGAGCTTGCCGGGGCCAAAGCGTATGCTTATCTTAACATCGATCGAGAGGCGGTTCAAAACATGGGCTTTTTGATCGAATGTTACAACCACTTCGTCCACTACTTAATGTTAGAGAAATACAAAAAAGAAAATAAAGAAAAGGGTAAACTCACAAAAGAAGTTCAGCACAAGAGCGTCCAGAAGAATCGCGAGCGAGTAAGTCACTCTTCCAAGTTGCACCAGTTTTGAGGAGTCGTGTTCACATACTAATGTTTTTCTTTTAGCTGGCTGCCAGCAGATTGGAATTTGCGACGCTCAACAAATTCCCCTCGCGATACATCAAGATTCTCACCCCGATCGCGGCTCATAGCGACGATGAAGTTCAGGAAGGAAAGGGCTTCTTCAAAATCAAGACATTACCGTATCGATCCAAGAACGCGAATCGGTTTTTTCGTCGCCTGGACATCTGCATGTTGAAAGCAGCGGAGCAGGATCCAAGCAAGCGTCGCCGAGTCCGCAAATTACCGAAGAACCCAGAGATGTCAGCTTACACGGCGGCACCAAAGGGTCTTCCGATCGACTTTTACGACCCCGAATGGTACCACAACTTAACACCGGCTCAGCAACAGCTTATACCCGACCTTACTAATGTCGCGTTCCTTCCAAACGCAAGTGAATCGCTACTTCCAAAGGCTCAGCGACATCCTCACGAAAGCTCGAAAGATAAGACTTTCACGCGAATATACTTTGAACAACTAGCGGAACCCTACGGACTTGTGGCATCAACGACCAGCGAAGAGTCTGGTGATGAAGAAGGCGAAGGCGAAGGCGATGGCGATGATGAAGAAGGGGAAGGGATCGACTTAGACGGCCCCAGCCCGGATGCTTCTGAGGACGAGTTCTTTGAAGAGGGGGATGCCGGTGATTTGTACAACGACGACTTTGTTGAAGAAGATGGAGGCGACGATGAATCCGACGGCGATGAGGATTACGAGGAAGACAGCAACTACGAGGATCCAGAGCACTCCGGGGATCACGAGCCGATGCAAGGTGTTGAGGAGGATGAACCAGTCTGGTAATTTTTTCTATTCAAGCGTATTCCCTTCTCTCCTCCAGTGTTCCAAGTTCCTTTCTGTGCTATCTTTTTCCATCTTTCCAACAATATAAAAAAGAAAAGAAAAAAAAAAAAAAAAAAAGAAAAAAGAAAAAAAATATGCTCCCAATTTCCAGTCCTTATTCACTTCCTTCTTTTCCTCTCTTCCTCCAATTTCATTATTCTAATGGTCCAAAAAAAAAAAAAAAAAACATGGTACAGTTTCCTCATGTTCTCTTTTTCCTGTAATTCTACACTCCATCTCTTATTCTTATAGTCCAGTTTTACCACTTACTCTTCTTTCTTTTCCCCTCTTTCTCTCATTTCTTATCTTTGAATCTACAAAAAATCCAGATAAAAAATTTTAAATATACAGCTATAACGAGAAAGCTTGCGGGCTCCAAAGTCAGAAAATAAAAAAAAATAAAAAAATCTACCGACTACAGCTGGAAGTTTTGGAAGAATACAGGTTCATGTATGGATGCATCATGTTGGGTTGAATTTGCTATCTTTTTGTTCTCTCATTTTCAGGTGATGAGAGTAACACCATCGGAATCCTGATGCAAAGTTCACTCCAACGGCCTTCCCTTACCCGCTGATGGCTGCTGCTGAGGCATCCCCCTGGGGGGCCGGTCAGGTCCCACCGGTGCTGCTGGCAGGTATACGGCAGCCTGTATTCTTGTCTGTATTCTTCCTAACATTCCAATTGCAGTTTTTTTTTTTTTTTTTTTTTGGATATTCCGACTCGACAGCCCGCAAGCTTTTTCGGTTTAGCTGTAATTATAAAAAAAAAAAAAAAAAGAAAAAAAAAAAAAAAAGAAAAAAAAAAGAAAAAAAAAAAAACCCCCCGGTGTAAATATGTTTCCTTATGTTCCTAAATCATTTCATTCTTCACTTCCTCCAACTAGTGTCTGACCATTTTAGTATATTGTACTCTCCAAAGCTCAACCAACCTTGTAAGTATCATCTCTATTGATGAAACCTCAACAGCTATTGTCAACCACCCATGTTACTCCATCTGATTTTTACTGTCCAAACGTACTGCTATCAACAAGCTTCCATATACTTTGTCCAGCCACACATGTTCTCATTTTTTACTGCCAAACATACTGTTCCCCTATTGATATTACCTCTATCAATCTACTTTCAACAACTGTCATTAGCCTCCCATGTACATACTAGCCCCCCATAGTGTTGAAATTGAATGCATTGTACCATGGGAAATTAAAGCCTTGAATGCTGGGAAGGCTGGTCCAACAAGTAGTTGGGACAACTTGGGCTAGGCACTTTGCTCTTATGGGTGATGAACATTGAAGTTGAAATTGTACACATGTGAATTTTAAGAGTTGAGAATCATTTTCTACGTACAAGATCAGAAGAAAGGGGGGTTTATTGTGGCAAGTCAGTATTTTACATGGAATACAAACATCAAGCTGAAGAAATGGGAAACAAATGATAAACAGAATATCTTTTTCAGCTGCTTCCAGATAATTCCAAAAGGGGGGATCTATTGTATGGGGTTAGTATAATTCCATTGGATTCAATTGAGAAAGTATTGCGAGGCAAGAAACGGTATGCTGCAACTGAGTCAATGTTTGCTGGTTCAAGCAGCAGGTCCTCGTCCCAATCCAACTTTCCGACAACGGCCGCACATTGATATAAGGAGAAGCGAAAACGAGTCGTGGGAAGGTTGAGTCTCTTGGGGTATAGGTTGACAATTGGTGAGCAGAAAATAACATGTTTTATCTCTTCTAGATGGTTTTTGTACATGTATATCTGCTTCACAATGCCATACTTCAGCTTACCACCAAGCTTAGCAACCACACAATTTTGTGGTTCTAAACAGGATACCCTGACATCTCCACACAAAACAGACTGAACAGGTGTTGCATACCCAGATAGAACCGGCAATCCACGTGGTATTGGGAACTCGTCTCGATGCCTTAATGATGGATGTTGTCTCCTTACCCAGCTGAATAGCTTCCCGTAGACTGCGTCAGAGAGGTATATAGAGGCAGGTGACTTTGCTGTTTGAGATTTATTGTTTTCGCCATTGGTCTGGAGGAATTCTTTGTATCCAGGCTTGTCAATCATTTTTTGTAATTGGCATCCCCGAGTCATCATTGTTGCATTCATCTGGTCTGAAAAAAGAAAATATATATTAAGTAGATGTTGTCACTAGATGTTGTACCTGAGTACGTATTGAGATTGCACCCACCAATCAAATTGTTTGTCTTGATTTTTTGCAAAAATCCAATGAGTCTCTCCCCTGGAAATTCAGAGAGACAGACAACAGGCCCCCATCGCTGCAATTGAGTTGTATAATGTAAAGCGTAGTGGTGATTCGGTTGTACCTTCACGCCTTTGAAGAGTTTGCCAACAGTGTCACTGTATTTTCTGTAGTGTGACTCAAATCGTTTGATGTGGAGGTCGTTAATTTTCCTAGAGCAGATAATTCGAGTGCATGAAACTAGATTTCCTGTGTTGAAGAGAAAATTTGATAGTTTTGGTTGACTGTCAATATTTCCAATTTCGGTTATGTAGAGATCAAAGATAACCAATGGGATGATGTATGAGAAGAGGGTAAACCACTGTGATGCCTTCAGTCGTCCATGACTCTCTTCGCCAAGGTTTGGGGGTAACTTGTCAAGACCATGTGGTAGTATGACCTCCTTCATACTGCAACGGAAAGTTTCGATATCGTTCTGAGAGAAAAATGAACCATCTGGACCACCATCAAGGACAAGATCTGTGTCGCTTTCATCTGAGCTGTCCTCCAGTCTGGAATTTTCAGAGGTCTCGTCCAAAGACATTGCAGATGCGGCGCCACCCAATCGTGCCCGCTTTCTTCTTGATTGTGCATAAGCAGAACGTCTTCGTTTTTCGGATTCCTTCTTGGTGATTGATTTGAAACCCCATCGATATCGGAAATGAGCTTGCAAGATCCCTTCGAGCCAATTGTGCAAGACACCAAGCACAATGTTATCAGACGGATTCCAGTAGCTTAGGCGGTTGAGTTCTGACCATCGTACACCTGACTCTTTGAGAAGATTCTCTGATTCCGTGCTTGACTTTGAATCCTTGGCCAATTGGGCTGCCGCTAGTGTCGCATCCTTTGACCTGTTTGGTCCACATTGCAACATTCCAAGATCATTCAATTTTTCTTTGCAGAATGAGCAGAAGTATTTTGCAGAGTGAGAGGCAAATCCTGCAACCTTCTTGACTGCCGGGGCATCACCGAGCAAGCACAGTAACTTGATTCGCACCGTTTGACCATTAGGATACTGATAGGTTCGGATTTCAACACCAGATTCCAGCTGAATTAATTCATCAACAAAGGGTTTCAAGAGATGATTGATTGTTTCGGTGTTGGGTGAAAAGGGACCTGGAGTTATTCCAGCAAGACCAATATGGGAGACTTTGTTTCGAGTTGAGGGTGGGAGATTTAAGCAAGAGAAAGCAAACACTCCACTAGATTCAACACTTCCAGAGATTTTATTTCCACGTGGGTTGAACCAATCGACGAATAGAGATAAGGCCAAGTCCAAAGAGTTGGACCGATCTTTACTGAACAAGGTTTTGAAAGCGGTGCCGTTTTGAACATCAATCAGAAAATCGTCTTGATTGCCAACTTCGCCAGCCCATTCTTGAATTTCCTTCTCAGTGTCTGGTTTGGAAAGGAGCCAGGTGACCCAGGTGAGAATGGACTGAGAGATGAAATAACAGCGAGGAACCCCAACGAATTGAGGATAAGGAACCGGATTTTTGGTTGTTGATTTGGGGGGGAATTGGCCAAGGTCCTTCATGCCACGATACACCCGGTTCTGTTTGAATAGAGGTTCTCCACATTGTTCCTCGTTTGGATACGGTAGATAGGTGCAGAAGAGGGGTGCATCACGGTTCGGCGGGTATAGGGAAAAGCATTCACGGCAGCATATAGTTTTGATGAGGGTAGGATTGATGTCGGCTTTCTCAATAAGGCTTCGCGGATCACGGGCAAGTGTTTCAAGCTGGTTGATTGGAGCTGATTTTTTCTGGAATTCCTCAAGAATTTTGAAAAGGAAATTACAAGCAGTCCTACAATTCTCACGGCTCACACCACAGAATAAGTAAAGCCAAGATATAAAGAGAACAATGAAAGCTGTTTTGCATGTCAGATATATATATTTTTTCTTGGAAAAAACAAAACAAAAAAATTAGGAAAGGAAAGAGAACTCACAAATCAAGTTGTTGTCAGCCATGTTGGGCCCTTCAAAGACTGAACCATTTGAGGTGTCAGAATGGATAACTGCGCTATTGTTGGTTGAAGATCTATCACTGTTTGAATCCTCCATGACCAAAGGCTTTCGATCTTGAAGTTGATGTGTCCTGATGGTTCGAGGAGCAAGGTATTTTCCATGCTGGTTTGTTTTGGTTTGTGGGTCGTAGACTGAGTTGAGGATGCATTTTGAACAAGTGCATAGTGCCTTCTGGTTTTGGGTTTTCGGCATGGTCCGTACTTTGTTTTCAAGTTTGAAAAAAACAGATATCAAGAAATCGTGAATCGGACAGGCCAGTGGGTTTCCAAATTTGAAAAAAAAAAAAAACGGCGTGAAAAATTGTAATTCAGACAGGACCGGCCCGTCGGTGAATGTTCGTCAAGGAGCAAGTCGTATTTCACAGTTCGGACAGGCCAGTCGGGGCCAGTCGCCTTCCAAATTTGAAAAAAACCGCACAAAAAATCGAGATTCGGACAGGTCCGGCCAATCAGTTCGATAAGGTGGTTTGAGCAGCAGGTCGTAGTTCGTAGTTCGGACAGGCCAGTCGGGGCCAGTCGCCTTCCAAGTATGAAAAAAAACCGCGCAAAAAAATCGTGATTCGGACAGGTCCGGCCAGTCAGTTCGCCAAGGTGGTTTGAGCAGCAAGTCAAAGTTCGTAGTTCGGACAGGCCAGTCGGGGCCAGTCGCCTTCCAAATATCAAAAAAAACGCGCAAAAAATCGTGTTTCGGACAGGTGCCGCCAGTCAGTTCGCCAAGGTGGTTTAGGTCGTAGTTCGTAGTTCAGACAGGCCAGTCGGGGCCAGTTGGTTTCCAAAGTTCAAACGAACCGCGCAAAAAATCTTGATTCAGACAGGTGAATGTTCGCCAAGGTGTTTGAGCAGCAAGTCGTAGTTCGTAGTTGGACAGGCCAGTCGGCGATTGTTCGTCAATGTGGTTGGGCAGTTGATACCGGCGCCACAGGTGAAACAGCAGTCGACTGGAAAAGGTCATGAATGGTGTGTACGGCCAATCATTCATGAGCTGATCTAAATCTCAGACTCCCCCCTTGTTACCAACACCATCAGCCATTAATGGCGATGAGCACCGGTCATTTGGTGAATACCCGCGGCTGGTCCCAATCCAGCCAATCCAGCACGCGATGCCGCTTGTCGAGGCGGAAACTCATAGTAGGCAGGTAATACCTGCCGGCAGCTTGCTGAGGAAGAATCCTCCCGGTGTCCACTTAATCCAGCCGGGCAAGGATTCTTGCAACCCAGTAAGCTCATGTTTCTCGGCTGGACGGTGGAGTCAGAGCAAGTCGGGAGGTCTTTTCCTCCCGATTTTCAATTTTCATTTACATTAATCTTTAATAATATCTTGGGTCTCAATTACCCATACTTGTCGCTTGTAGGCACTGGTGTCGCTTCATTTTACCCTGCTGTCGCTGCATTCGGCTTGGGGGTTGTTGTCGCACGCGAGTGACACTCACGTAAAACGACGGCTGTCGCATCACACCGATGCGACAGCCAAATGACCGTAGTGTCAGTGGTTTCCACTGGCCCTAAAATCTGACCACCCAGCAGGCTGTGTGTTCAATTCCCACTGGCCCCATCCTCCAGTGGGGGTTAGGTCACTCAATGCACCTCATAATAGGGGGTATCAAATATAACCAAATCCACCATGATTTAAATTTTAATTGACTGGTTTGAAAAAATCCACCCTTTCCCAAACATGTTGGTTATTCATTTAACCCCTTTTGGGGCCCTTTGATGCAAAAATATTTTTTGGGAAAAGTGACTGGTTTCTGATGGTGGATTTCCTATATTTGATACCCCCTATTGGGTTAGGGGGTTAGGTCACTCAATGCACCTCATAGGGGGTTAGGGGGTTAGGTTACTCAATGCACCTCACCCCCCAGAGAGGCACTGTACCCAGACAGGTTCAAGCGTAGTTGTTCATCTGTCTGGATATTGTGGGGCCATTGGGGACCTGGCCGAGTTGTCAGAAATCCCATGGCCCCTGCTTCAATGGGGGATGGGGGTTAGGGTTTAGGGGTTAGGTTTTAGGGTTCAGGATTAGGGTTTAGGGTTTAGGATTTGGGTTTAGGTTTTAGGGTTTAGGGTTAGGGGTTAGGGAGGTTAGGGCTGTTTTGTTTATAAAAATTGGGCAAAAACTGTTTTTACAGTTTTTTTTGTTGAGTTTTAAACTTGGCACATTGAGTTTTTTATTCATAAGGATATTCAATGTCAAATTCTCAGTCGTCATACTTTCGATCCCGCATCCACTCAGTCACTCAATCTTCCGAGCAAGCAACTTCCAACTTGCCAATCATTTTCTTCCCCTTCCTTGTTGCTCTGACTCATCAATCAATCAAAAACCACCGAGGTCATCAATCTTATTCGCTGATCAATCAAGCTCCATACTTCAATTCAACTATCGTTTGCTTCTGACACTTAGGAGGAGCTAGTTCTAGCTTCTGGGCAGGTAGTTCTTTCAACTCTATCTGATTGACTGTTCTACATTGTATTGACCGTTTCTTTTATCAATTTCTCTGACAGGCTAGTTTGTTGTGATAATCCTTGTGTTCTGAAGTCGACATCGTTTTATTGTGTTGAGAGTTTTGTTATATACTGATTTAGTCTTTTAGGTATTTCTTTCTTTCTTAATTTTTTGTTCATCTAAGTCACAATTTACTTATCTTCTTTCTTTTGTAAGATTGTTACTTCTATTGAGTTAAATAAACTATTTCAAAAAGGGCCTTAATAAAAAAACGCGGTTTTTCCGCGTTTTGACGCGGTTTTAACGTGCCGCAGCACACGCGGTTTCCGCTTTTAGACGCGGTTTCGTAATTAATTTTTTATGGGTTATTTTTTGACTTTTTTTGAATTTTTAAAGTTGTTTCCTACACTATAAAAGGCGTAGAATTTAATGGTAAAAACCATTTTTCATAAAAATGAATTTTGATTATTAATTATTTTTTTTCACTCATTTCTCAATTAATTGTTTGCATACATGTATGTACCTTATTTTTTATGCTTTTGTGGAATTTTAAAATTATTTCCTAGGTTTCAATGTGTGTAGAATTTAATGGTGCAATCCAATTTTCTTAAAACTCAACGGTTCATTTTTAATACTGAAATTAGACCCATTTTTTCACTTAATTTTTTACAGCTTAATTCTCATCATTTTTTGACATTTTAAATTTATTTCCCACACTTTAAGACATGTAGAAAATGATGGTAACAACCATTTTTCCCCAAAATGAAAACTATACCTTGAATGCCGCATTTGACACGTTTTTTTTAATTAATTCCTCACTTTTTCACCTAATTGTTTGCATACATGTGTGTACCTTATTTTCTATGCTTTTTTGAAATTTTAAAGTTGTTTCCTACATTTAAAAGTGTGTAGAATTTAATGGTAACATCCAATTATCTTAAAACTCAACAGTTCATTTTTAATACTGAAACTAGACACTTTTTTCAATTGATTTTTAAGAGCTTAATTTTCATTATTTTTTGACATTTTAAATTTGTTTCCTACACTTTCAAACATGTATAAAATTATGGCAACAATGAATTTTCATCAAAATGAAAACTATATCTTGAATAATGCCTTTGACGTGTTTCCTGAATTAATTCTTACACGCTCAATTATCCTTATTTTTTGGAATTTCAAGCTCATTTCCTACACTTTTAAAGGTTTCAGAATTGATGGCTGTATCCATTTTGCATTCAAATAAAATTTGTATATGGTACAAATTATGCAAGAAACAGGGTACGCTCATCTATTAAGATTGAAGCTTGTATTTTGAGTGAAATTGGACTTCACCATTCAATTCTAAACATTTGTAAATGTAGGAAATAAATTTAAAATAAAAAAAAATGCTTAAGATCAGGCTGGTAAAAATCAATCAAAAAAACATTAAAAAAAGCCTGTCCACTGCAGTATTGATATTCAGTAACAAGCGCTGATTTTTATGTAAAATGGTTGTTACCATCATTTTTATCATGTATTAAAGTGTGGGAAATAAACTTAAAATGTCAAAAAATAGTGAGAAATAACATGTAAAGAATTAATTGAAAAAAGTGTCTAGTTTCAGTATTAAAAATGAACTGTTGAGTTTTAAGAAAATTGGATGTTACCATTAAATTCTACACACTTTTTAAATGTATGAAAAAACTTTAAAATTTCAAAAAAGCATAGAAAATAAGGTACACACATGTATGCAAACAATTAAGTGAAAAAGTGATGAATTAATTAAAAAAAACGTGTCAAATGCGGCATTCAAGGTATAGTTTTCATTTTGGGGAAAAATGGTTGTTACCATCATTTTCTACATGTCTTAAAGTGTGGGAAATAAATTTAAAATGTCAAAAAATGATGAGAATTAAGCTGTAAAAAATTAAGTGAAAAAATGGGTCTAATTTCAGTATTAAAAATGAACCGTTGAGTTTTAAAAAAATTGGATTGCACCATTAAATTCTACACACATTGAAACCTAGGAAATAATTTTAAAATTTCACAAAAGCATAAAAAATAAGGTACATACATGTATGCAAACAATTAATTGAGAAATGAGTGAAAAAAAATAATTAATAATCAAAATTCATTTTTATGAAAAATGGCTTTTACCATTAAATTCTACGCCTTTTATAGTGTAGGAAACAACTTTAAAAATTCAAAAAAAGTCAAAAAATAACCCATAAAAAATTAATTACGAAACCGCGTCTAAAAGCGGAAACCGCGTGTGCTGCGGCGCGTTAAAACCGCGTCAAAACGCGGAAAAACCGCGTTTTTTTATTAAGGCCCTTCAAAAAAGTAATTGATTCAACCATTTCTTACATTTTTTACCCAGCTCACCCACCTCACTCAGCTCCGCCTTGCCTTTGGTTCTAAACCAAAAATTATGACACAATTATCTTTGGTTTGGGACCAAAGGTTTTGATTGACAAAACTCCCCAAATTTGGGATACTATAAAATCTGTTACAGTAATATGGTCTCCACCACTCTATAGTTTGTAAATTTACATATGTCAATGTTCTCATGCAAATTTAACATACTTTATTTACAAATCTTTTATTTTTAACCCTTCAAAATTTCTGATGGGTTGTAAAATTACACAATACCTGCACATCAATGGAATTTTACCAACCTTCCAATTTAAAAACCATATGTCTTGCAAACAATGATTTATACAATTCACTTACCCCATAAAAATAGGGGCTTGGTTAATCGATTCCCAAAAGTTGGAGAGTCGACTCCCAAACCCCCAAACTCCCTGAGATTCCCCCGCATTCCCCAAGTACTGGGAGTTGATTCCCCAAACCCATCAGCGAGTTTGGGAGTCAAATACTCAAAAAATTTAAATAAAAAAAATGAAACCCCCGGAGGGGGACGGAGTCAATGCCCCAAAACCCGCTGGGTTTTGGGGGTCGGCAAGCCAAAAAGAGCCCCCAACGGCCCGGATGATTCCTCCCGGCCATCAAAGATGGAAACAGAGGTTTGCCCCAGCTCATAAGCTGCTGGACAATGCGTGTAAGCCTCATCAAGTATTCTCTGAGAGGTGTCTTAAGCATTAGTTGACAAATCCTCATTCTTTCTGCTACGACCTAGCTTTTTTACATCTTCCCATCACGGCTATAGGTACTACCTTCTCCACCGGTAATTACCCTAAGCCTGACAGTGCTGATGTAATTTGGTGGTAAAACCCTGAGACTCCAAAGGGGTGGACCAGAACAAGGTACAACAAAAGTGTGAGTTCAACTCAAGTCCAGTGCAAAGTATGGTCTGAGCTCTTGCATGTCAACTGACACCAGTTGCTGGACTTTTACTTGTAGTGCTTGTTTAGTGTAATGGAGAGAATGTGCCAATGAATTGATGAGTTGATGTAAGGCATTGGGAATTTGGATCAAGAGCAAAGTGCCACAAATTCTGCATCATATGTACATAGGGAGCTCAGGAAGTTTTATGTTCTGTAAACCACATGCTTGACGGACTAAATCTGCATCTTGTGGGTTCATCAGGAGCGGTCATGGATTTGCTGAGTGCAGACCTTGTTGATCACCTTCGCTATTGGTGAATCTAACGCGCCAAAAGACTCCGAATTTTTACAAAAAGACATCCAACTTGTTTGTGTTTCTAGGGGGCGCATGGGATGATCGACCAGGAACTGATGATTACCCGACAAGGTCGTGCGAGCGTGGCGTTGAAGTTGCTTACTAGCTTCTTTTCCTTCGCCTGAGGTTGCCTCCAAGGCGCGACATACTTTGTTCAGATTCAAAGTTCGGTGTCCTACCGCTTCACTTGCCTCGGCTGGCGATGACATCGAGAAATGCACATCGATGGTTTCGCCCGAAGGCTTCACCACCATCCAGGAGTATCGTCCGAGGCCCCAGACATGGCTGACACTGCACATTAAACCAACAACCAATATGTGAAAGAACATAGTTTATCGCGCCGGCTGACTGATATCGAGGGGGGTTCATGTTAGCCATCGAAATATGCCTGCTGAATTGAAAGGGGAATTCGCTCAACTTAATTGGTCAATTCCTGAGGGTCAGTGACAGATGGCGATAGTGAGCTGTTTGAGGATAACGGGAGTAGTGAACTGTTTGCTCTTCGCCAGAGGATGCGAATATTTAAATGTTGAGAGAGGGAATTCTAGTACAAAATTAGGAGGGAGATAAGTGTCTCACCCTTGGAGGTTTCGGGAGGGATCCTATTAAAATGGAACCCTCGGAGGTTTCAGGAAGGATCCTCTTAAAATGGACGAAAGTTGCGAGTAACTAGAATTTATTGGAACAAGCCCCATAGCCAAGCTCCTCCGGAAAAATTACTATGTGGCACGTTGGTTTGGGCATAACTTGAGAAAGTATTGAGAATCAATGGTCTGGCAATGTTAAGATAGAAGCCAAGGTTTCCTCCTTAGTCCTACGCCCTCCTGATACAAACCCCTTGGAAGCTAAAAAATAACATGCAAACTTGTTTGCATGTTATGTTCAGGTGGTAAACTTTTTTCCAAAAGCTCCATTGTGGTGTTTTTTATCCCGAGAAGTTTGGAAAGCTACGGAAGCCCTGGACCGACACGAATCGCGCCAGCGGTTTCTGACATTCGGAACGGTTTTTGATTTTGCGTTACAAAATTCAACTTCAGTATCCAAAAATACCAAGTTAACTGTTGAACACACACCGACACCCCGATGAATACCAAAAAAAAGAGGCCCGATATCTCAGTGAGTCCCATTTCTCAAGTCAACCCAACTTCTACTAGAAAGAGAAAGATAAAATGAGGAGAGAAGAAAACAACAAATATTGAAAGAATTGAATTTCAGACTGATAGGACAAGAAAACGATCTGATTCCTTGATGAAATAAGTCCCTAATAAAATCAAATAATAATGGGTGCGCGTTGGAGGTGCTGAGGAGGAGGCAAGGAATGTTCGGGTACACTCGAGTCTTCATTAATCCGGCCTGGCGGATGAATTTGCGGGAAAAGGAGGCAATATCGAGGGCAAAAATCGAACATGGGTGTTGTTGTTTCTCTTCCATGGTAGGAAGGAAACCTCCGAATCCGGTCGGCGCAATGCGACCAGTGGTTTAGCACTCTGCGGTAGGAGGGGAGGTACTTAGTGAAGTTAGAAAATCAAAAAAGGATTGAAATCTAAAACCCCCAAAACGCTCTCCTATGTCAACACTTTATATCACGTTTTGGGCCGAACAGCCAGTTCATCAGTCGTATCTGAGAGGCCACTTGCTGAGTTGAAACTTCGAGAACATATGAGGTTGAGAAAAGAAAAACCAAACAACTAAAAAAATGTTAAGCAAACCGACCATATGTTATTGAAGCCTAGCTGACAGCTAAATTTGGCCGACTTTCGCCAACCAGCGAAACAACTCAGGGGGGCTTTCTTCAAGTTAATGCTGGCAGCAGCATGGTGCTTTGGTGACCCATCGAGCTGAAGATAATGTTCACTCCATACCCGAGTTGGCTTGTTGGTGCTCAGTGTCGCTGGAGAGAGCTGGGTACCTTTGACCAGTAGAGTGTTTTTTCAAACGTTTGATGTGAACGATCATCGGTTGGGCAAACTCCTCTTCAACTGATTGTTTTTGGTTTTGTTTTGTTTTTTTGTTTTTTTCTTTTCTGTGCGATGCAAACCAATTTTTGACAAGATTCAAAGTGGCTACCGAGGGACCGTTCGCAAACATTTGTTTGCAGCCGTGATGTACCCCTGGGTGGCCGAGGTGGACCCCTCTGTGAGCCGAGTGTGAGCCGAGTGCCACCGGCAGTGGTTGGAGCTCCGGCACTGAGTAACACTGGTGCTGGCGGTGAAGCTGCCTTATAGTGGATTTTTTTCTGGGTTCCCAGGCAGTACCACCGTGGGAATCAATCACGCGCCTGAATCAGACGAATGGGCAACTTGAGCAAACGGCGAACGTCAACAGAAACATGCCGTGATTTTCTTGTTCCCTACGCGGCTGTTTCCCCCTAGTCCTCCTTTATCGCAATGTTTTGTCTTCTTTCTTCATCATTTGTAAATCCAAAGCAGTCATGTCATTCACACCTTTAAAACAGTTCATCTCCAAAGAGATTAGCCCTTCGTTGTCCCAGCGCGTCTGTCGACACTTGTGCGATATATTCTCTCTGGCTTGTCTGAATCTGTTGTTGCATGACCATGCGGCTTCTCGCCGTTTGCCTTGGCCCTTGGGTCCGGCTATCTCATGCCTATTTCTTACCTTGATCTTCTGTCTCGCCAAACCCCATCAATTCCCTGCAACTCTTCATCATTTTTTTTCGTGGATATTGCTGTAGCCGTCTTTTCCTTGATCCGAATCACGCCCCTACAGCCCCTATACTCCCTGAGTAGCGTAGAGCATCAGACCAGCCGCATATTATGATATCAACAATGTCCTGGACAGTGTGGCTGCCGTCATGCATCCTCCTCCTCTCACTTTTGGGCACCAACTTCGTTGATTCCAAGAAGCCGACGGACAGCTACGCTAGCGCCGGCAAGTTCAAGAGAACGAAGAAAGTTATGGGCTATTATCCCGTATATAACTTCAACATTCAATCGCCCAAGCAAGTCGATTATTGTAAGACATTTTTCGACCCTTTTTAAACTATCCATAAATACCTGATTGACGATCTCACTGAGGCACTACCGTTTGTTCCCGTTGGATTGTATTCCTAGCCCTGTATACGGACGTGATCTTTTTTGTGGCTGTGCCCGAAGCTAACCATACCTTCAGTTACGGTGATCACCTCACCCCGAAACACGCAGAGCAGCTGGCAGTCGAGTTTGTTGGTCTAGCGAAAAAACGTCAGTCACAACCTCATAGCAACTTTGGATGATGGTTCTAGATGCTAATCTTTTCTTTGTCTCATCCCGATTTGTTCCTGCCAATCATTCAGACAATGTAAACCCACTTCTTTCTTATGGGGGCTGGGACGGCTCGAGGTCAATTTACCGTCATCAACTTGTTTCCTTTGTCGTTCAACCTTGTGCTAAATTTTTACTTCTGCAGATACTTCTCAGAGCTGTCTTCGACGCCCGCTCGCAGGACAGCATTTGCTCAGAACTTGGTTCAATATGCCAAAAAGCTCGGCTTTGCTGGATTGGACATGGACTGGGAATGTGAGTCTGCATAATCTCATATTGTGAAATATATCTATGAAGTTTTAGTGACACTTTTTAACCTTCATTCAGTCCCCAATGGGTAAGCTTTCTTGTGGGCAGATGGCGCTGTTCGCCAACTCTTTGATCACAACTCTAATGATGCATGTATATATAATGTTTTCCATTTCAGTGATGGAATCGGTTGTAATACCCACTCGCCCCAAGACACTATCAACTTCGGCCTGCTTCTCAAGGTATTTCATTTACTCGGCGATAGGCCTTCGAGATTTGATCAGTGCTGATAACTCATGAACCTACTTCCACAGGAAATCAGACGTCTATGGCCCCAAGCGCAACTTACTGCTGCAATTGGTCTCTCTGGGCTCTCGGGTCCCGACGGCAACCCTGCTAGCGCGTCGGAAACTGCTGAGATTGCTCGAAACCTAGATTTCGTGTTAGTAATAGCCAATTTTATAAGACGCGATCTGGCGCAGTATTAGAAAAGCGCGACACCTGCATTGACGTCGTCTGCTTCATGATCACAGTAATCTTATGGCTTACGATGTCTTCGGCGGCTCGTGGGCCAACACCACCGGTCCGTTGGCTCCAATCCATGGGACTTGCGCGCCCGACGGAATGACACAGTCCATTGAAACCGGTCTTGAGGTGATGATGAAGCAAGGCTTCGAAGCCCGACAGATCGTGTTAGGACTCCCCGCCTATGCTAAGCGTCTGCAGCTACTTTCCCCCAAGCTCCAGTTAACGACTGTCAATGGCCACAAAAGCTTGATCTATCAAAAACACACTGCAGCCACTCCTGTAAGGTTTCCGTGTGCCAATTCCCTCTCAAATAAACTGGCTTGCTCATACTTCCTTCCGTGTTTCTCCAGCCCGGTGGAATCGCCGACGATAAGCCAGGAAAGGATGTCTGTGGAAAGCAGCAGGACTGGGGAGGCTCTTTCCTCACCATCGAACTGATCTCGAATGGCTGGTTGTCCAAAGATCAGAAAACTGGTATCAATGGGTACAAGCGTTACTTTGATGAATGCAGTGGAACTGTGGGTAGCTATTCACCCGCAATCATCCCTTCGTCACCTTGACAAAAGGCTGACTAGTTTTCCATCAACTAAAACAGCCTTTCCTCACAAACGGGAAGTATCACATCACCTATGAGGATCAGATGACTTCGGTCACCAAAGCGAAATGGGCCAAAAAGCACAAACTAGCTGGTGTCTTCTTGTAAGCTCTTTTCTGTCATCCGTCTCATCGGCCATGACCTGACTTTCTCTCCTCTCTTGTGCGGTTTTAATAGCTTTGATACTACTGGTCCAATGAAATCTATAGTCTCTGCTGCCGCCCAAGCGCTCTGAACCCCACAAACTTTCACAACTTCAATGCTGTAGAGAAACGTTCCTCAGACATTCGCCCCCGTCTGATCTTTTTGTTGAACTTCGTTTCATTACGCCTTTTCAGTATTGATGCTCTCAAAATACCACGAGCATCACGAAATTATTCAACACAGCAACGAAACTCAACATGACTTCATTTTTCTTTTCTTTTTTGACTAGGTGCACATGTGCGCCATCACTCATCAGATTTTTCTCACAGCGGCATCAGATCCCGTTTCTTAAACTTTTTTTTCTGGTCGTCATTATCTAATTTAAGTTGGGACTTTCAGTCTTTTTTTTTGTCTTGTTTTCCACTGATTTTTTTGACTGTTTCTCAACAAATTGGATAAGTTTTTGAAGTATAATCAATCAATGGAGTTTGTGTAGCCGTAGTGTACTTTGACAAATCATCTGTGATGATTTTCCTCATACGAAGTTCAACAATGGTGAAGCTTGCGGTTTATGGCAACTATCCCTCAAACCAAAACATGAGCCTGTGGGACTGAATAAGTTCCATGGGCTGGTTAGGAGTAACCACTGGCTTTCTAACATCAACAAGTGATTAGGTTTCCGGGGTAGGATGCAAGAGTTGGATCAAGTACCGAAGTTTCCTTGAAAAATGACCAGCTACAAACCTTTTGGGCTTGTGATGCTATTTGGTATCGAACAAGAACTTCCAAAACCCTATCAAACAGATTTATGATCTTGTTAAAGGGAAGAGCAAAACATTTCGGGGTAAACAATACTGGAAGTTGAACGTAGTAAAGCTGCTAAAGTACAACCCTTTCACCTCCGAATTATGCTTCTACTCCTCATGAGAGCCTCTGCTTAGGTAGAGCCAACCTTCATTTGCCATCAGGTTAGCCTGCCTGGACTGCTACGTGGAGCTTTTGTCCAATTTGCTTCATCGAGGCTCTTTCCTTCGTTTGGGGCTGTCAATATGTACATGATACCGTCAATTGTCTCTGTGTCTCTCCGGCAGAGGCCGCCAGCCGGAGCAGGGGTTTGATCATAATATCAAACTGGGCAGTCTCTGCACTGTTTCGATAATAGCCCAATCTTATTTTGACTTTGCAAGTTGATGGGAAGGTTAGACTCTCTGTCAGGCCGACTCCCCAGCCCTTCTCGGTGGAACCAGAATACTTGGACATTATGTACCCATGAGAGGGCACAGCGGAACGCGAATTGCTGTCGTTGGTTGGTGAGGCATTTCTGGTTTGTTGATGAGTTGTTCATGATGAATTGACAAAACAAGTTTTTTTCATGAGCTTGGTGCGACCTGCTCCATGATGAGTGTTATAGGGTGTCATACGAATTGTATGGGCATCGTCCTGTCCCAGAGTTAAGCTCTCCTTCGATATGCTACGTGTTGAAGTTGTTACAAAGTCGGATTCGTTTGGGTTTCAAGGAGAGGCACTACGTGGAGATGTGAAGCAAAAGTCGCCCAGACAGTGACGATGTGGAAGGCCAGGCCGGGTCGGATCGGATATCCCATCTCGCCATCATCTTTTTTTCGGTCAACAGCCTCCTTCCACCACTACGGCTACCATCATCCTCACCACCACCACTCACCAGCCATCATCTTCTCTGGATGACTGCTAATTGAAGACGAGAAGAAAACATCCCTCAGGTAGATAGCCAGCCTCGTCGTGGTATCACCCACCAGCCAACCTCCACCAAAACAACAACTTCTCAGGGATGACTGCCTCATACGAGTATGATGAATGTAATGCCCAATTTCTGCTTCTTCTTCAAAAAGTTCACCTTCATGCCACCGGGGCTTGATCGGGTTCCATGATAATTTCTATCATACGAAAATAATCGAGAAATAACATATGGATCTGGAATATTTTGGCTAACTAGGTCGTTTTTTGTTGTTCCCTTTGCTCGAATTGATCTGAAATTATGCAGCCGGTCAATCGAATTTCTTCGTTTTCACGTTTTTACTATTGATCTTGATCCCCTGGACAATCTCAAGTCTATCAAAGCTATCCAGTGAGTGGAAATTATGGAATAACCTAGCGAAGCCCAAGTGGCTAACTTGAACCATTCCCTAGGTACTACGGCCAAACCGCCATGCCCCGAATGGAACTCAAAGGATGAACAGGTTAAAAAGGCAAAACAAAAAGCATCACCAATAAGCCTGAGGTAAGTCTATTCGATTTTTCTTCATTTTGTCTTTTGAGCACCTTGACTCATAAATTTGACACAAACTTACTTCTCTATATAAAATCTATTCACCAAAAAAGTCATGTCTGCTTAGCACTAGGATGGGCCCTCTTGGCATATGTTGCCTACAGAGCTAGTTTTGTCAAAGCCTCGTCTGGTACATACGACCCATTCACCATCTTAGGTCTCAATCCCGTAAGTAAATCCTTAGGCTTGTTCCAATCGTCATATTGCTTGTCAGATATTAACACAGGCCTCGACTAATCCCTTAGGGTTCGGACGAGAAATCAATCAAAAGGCACTTCAAAAGGCTATCTCTGAAATTGTCAGCTCAAAATCTTCAACTTACTCATCCCTGAACAATAACTCATGTTCTTAAACTTAATTCACGCAACACTTTGTTGATGTTGTTTGCAACAGCCACCCCGATAAGTTGAAATTGCAGGTCAACCAGACCATGGAAGAAGTTAACGAGCATTTCGTCAACCTCACCAAGGCCTACAAAGCGTAAGCCCCCACCATTTCCCGATTTCATCGATTATTTAAGAACTAACTTCATTTGCTGATCGGCCTGTCCATCTGAATCAGTCTGACAGATGAAACTATTCGTGAAAACTACGAGATGTACGGCCATCCCGACGGAAAAAGAGAGACTGCGATGGGAATTGCACTACCTAAATGGATCGTTGAAACTCGCAATCATGGCTACGTTGTCGGACTTTATGGCCTTGTGTTTGGATTGATGCTCCCTTACCTTGTCGTAAGTTTTCCCATCTTGATTGTGTCAATTTGAGTCTATCTTTCCTGAATATCATGACTTACTCCCTTGTGCTTGCATGGCTATTTCATATGCAGGGTAAATGGTGGCACGGATCCAGAAAGTACACCAAAGATCAAGTTCTCAATGAATCGGCTTCCCGTTATTTCTTGAACCTGACCGAAGAGACTAAATTCGCTAACGCCGTGGAAGTCTTGTGCTCGTCGCTCGAATTCAAAGCTTTGGAATCTAAACATATCCGAGTATTTGAGTCCAACAAATCGTACAAGAAGCTCGAAGATCAAGTGACAACGACCCTGTTTAATTCAACCGGAGAAAAGCTGGAGGGCAGGCTGTACAACAACAGCAGTGAAAAATTTGTCAAGAGGACTGCAGTTTTGGTTTATGCTCATATGTTTAGGATTCCAATCTCCGATGTTGCCATTCTGAATGGTGAGTCCGTTTCATCCCACCAGCATGTCTGCTATAACTAATAGTGCTAATTGCCATACTACCAGCCAAACATGATGTCATCAATTACGGTCGTCATTTAACAAACGGGATGCAGTCCATTACGTTAGGATACAACTGGCTCAGTACCTATTTGGTCATCATCAAACTTCAACAACATCTGGTCCAGGCTATGCACCCAGCACTATCCCCCTTGGTTCAACTTCCTCACGTCTCTGTCAAAACTGCTGAAAAACTAGCCAAAAACAATGAAATCGGATCTCCTGAGCAATTTTCTATGCTGTCGGAACAGCAAAAGGACACCTTGTTTCCTGAGTTGAAAGGTCAAGATCACATCAAGAAACAGATTCAGTCTATTTCGGAGCATTGGCCTAAGTTGGAATTGGTCAGCTCTGAATTCAAAGGTTAGCATATTTTTCTTGTGATGATCATTGCTCTTTTTTGGAATGAAATTTAACCTCACCAACCGGAAACTTCCTGCTTAATCGTAAATAATAGTTGTCGGTGAAAAAACTGTCACCCCTGGTTGTGTGATTCACTTTACGATGAAAATTAGGATCAAAAATCCCAAGTCTTCCGCCACGGGTAAGGAGAACGGAAAGTCGCCTGCACAGGAACCTGAACAAACAACCGAGCAGGACTTGAAGGGCGAAGAAATGGAAATCGATGAATTGTTGGGCCGAAAGAAAGCTGGGGCTGATGGAGAGGAGAAATGTCCGATAGTACATGCGCCTCATGTGACCAAGGTTTGTGTGATTCTGAAAACATTTATTCGTATCCTTTGGTTAATTCCGAGAAGGTGTACATTAATATTTGACTTGTCCTGCTTGAATACTAGGATACCAAACCGAGCTACTACTGGCTAGTCGGAGACCACAAGTTGAACCGAATCTTCGTCCAGCCGGTCAAATTTACCGATGTCGGATACACGAAGACCCGAGTGCTGAAGACGACCTTCCAAGCTCCACACAGTCCGGGATTGTACACGTTCCAAGCGTATGTGAAGAGCGATTCGTATGTGGACACCGACGTGCAGGCCAGCATGCAACTGCGAGTCGAGGACAAGGAGGCTGCCGAAGATGCCAACGCCGAGGATGATATCTCTGAACCCGACGAAGATACCCTGGCCGGTCAAATGGCCGCTATGCGCGGCAAACCCACTAAAAAACAAAAGACGGATGACGACTCCGATGATACTAGTGGCACAGAAAGTAGTGATGATGATAGCAGCTCGGACTCGGACTCCGATTCCGATTGATTCGGACCTTCTCTCCTCTCGTCCCCTAGGTATCACTGTTTCCTCGAGGAAAAAAGTTTTTTTTTTTTTGCTCAGTACCTTTTGACTTGATTTTTACTTTCTTCTTGTCTCTTTTACTAGCTAGTCTTCATCGCTTGGATCCATTCTCCTTTTTTTCCCCTTCACTTTGTTAGAGTTTCTTTTTTCACTTCTTTTCATATTCATTTCCCAGTTTCATTTTTTTATAAGAAAAATCTATACATGTCTTGTCTTTCCTTTGCACACAAAAGATAAACCAAAAAAAAACCCCTGAAGCTTTATAAATGTTTGGTATCTTACATTCATATAAAACAAAGAGTGAATACAAAAACCCACAAGCATTGCTTCTCTTCCTCTTCATTCTCTCATTTTCTACTTTTTTTGGAATAATATCAGCATCAAATAAAATGATACTGTGTGAATACATACATACATGTCTATGTGAGAGATATTTTTGTTGTGGATGGGGAGTTTGGGAGTGAGACCAACACTTGGGTGAAATTAGTCAGAAAAGAACACCTAATGGGATGGATATTTGTGTCTGTCTTTACAACCAAGATGAACATACATATACATAGCTATTCAAGGCCCCATTTGGATGGCCTGGTATGCATCGTAAATGAGCCCCTCTCATAAATCAAACTCCCTCAAATGTCCATAAGCCCAGGGGGTCAAGTGTCACAAAATAACCTATAACAGGACTTTGATATGGCACCCAAGTAAAAAAAAAAAAAACTCAATGAACCTCATTTATGGATTCTTTGATTTCTTTCCCTTGTTGAGTTCATATTTGATGACTTCAAATTATTGTGATAAGGGACATCCATTTCACTGAAAACAATCAAGAGCTGTGATTGGAAAACAGACACTAGAGGTTGAATTATAAAACCAAAAAAAGTTGACACTTTTGATATATCTATGGTGTATCAAGCCCGTCTGGGCACAATCACAAGTCCTGCTTGGCCAAGTTGTTGACATTTTAGGACTCAGGCACATAAGAGGATGAGGGCCAAAAAAGGGAAGAACTCTTTTTTGGGAAAGGCTCATGGAAAATGAGTGTAAGAACCAATAATTTTTATTCACAAGTATCTAGCTAGGTTTAAATAGACTAAATACAAGTGTGTCAAAATGTGGTTGGTTGAGAAATGAAATGAATAGAAAAAAAAGCATATTGAATAAAACACTGAGAGAAAGAAACATGAGTCTTGGAAGTAACAAACTGGACAGGGCTTCTCAGTCTCTTTTAGTCAAGCCAGATGAGTTAATCAAGAAAAACATGCTATAATTCACAAATAATTAGAGTCGTTAATTCTAATTAATCAGGTTTTAATAAATCAAACAGTAAATCAGAAAAAAGAAGAATTCATCATGGAGACATGAGTAGTTTAGAGTAAGCTGATTACTTATGGTTCAAATTTGACTCAAAAAGGGGCTTAAAACAACCAAAAACATGCTACTTGAAGAATATAGTCTGGTCTGATTAGTGATGACTAGAAAGGGATGAAGGGCAGAGAGAGACAGAACTGAGAAAAAATTCAACACAAGTGCCATCAGGTCTTGGGAGTGTGCCCAGAGGGCTTGATGGACAGGATAGGCAGGCAGGACTTGGCACAAAGCCAAGTCCTGCTGGGCCAATTGGTGGCCCTGGTGCAAATGTGCACAAGCCCGGCATTGGTCCTCAACTCAGCAGCTGGTGTGTATCAGCCTTTGAGAGGGATTGTAAAAATCCCTCTCAATGACTGGTAAAAACCTAGTAGCCAAAGATGGGAGATATCCTCAACGAAGTGAGATGGCCATCATGAAGGGATTCCTTCTCAGTGGCCAGCAAGTTGGCAGGTGTGGCAGCCTAGCTTGATATTGGCCAAGCAAGGCTTGGTTCCAACCCCTGTCAACTTTAGCATGTGCCAAGGGAGGGGTTGGGATGGTGCCACACACACTTTAGGATTGGCCAAGCAGGCTTTGGGATTGGCCCAGCACGCTTGGCCTTGGCCCTCATTTTAGCCAAACTTTGGCCTGTGCCCAGTGTGGCTTGATACACCATATCTCATGTGATGATGGACCATTTGGTTAAATTTCACTTTTCTTTCATGTCATCCAAAATGCATTATGATTCTTATTATGATTGTATATTGATTATGGCTATGCAGGAACTTGGACCATACTCTGCACTGAACTTGAGTTAAACTAAAATTTCATTCCATAATATTGTTCTGGACCACCCCTTTGGCACCTCAGGGCAAGGCAGAACACAGTGGAAAAGCAAAGTCAGGTGGATCCAGGAGACATGCTCAACAGAATTCAAATGCAGCTTATGGACACAGGAAATCATTGCAAACAATGATTTGGGGACTTGGTCAATTTTATGATCAGTCAGTTTCTATAAATCAAAGCTTTGCAGCTGAAAATCAGTGAAACATATGGCTCAAACCAAGAAATTTGCTTTTTCCTTATGCACTGTTCAGCTTGGGCTGTGTCAAGGTTTGATCATTGATCACTGTCACAAGATTTGATTACAGCAGCACTGTTTTTCAAACATGAACTGAAAACAGGTGTCATGATGACAGCCTGGTGCAATTTCATTTCCACAATTGAACCTGATTGCATTCATCTCTTTATAAACCATAAAGGATTCTCCATGCTCCTATAATTTTTCTCTCTCCATCAGAAATCAAATTATCATGAAGTTTCACTTTATTGAATACTTAACTCTGATATTTTATCTAATTGATAACAGCTGGCTTGTCTCACTAACTAAGCCAGAGGAGGAAGAAATATGGGTTGATTTGAGCAATTTAACCTCAGGAGGATCATCAATTTCACATGTTTCTTCTAAATCAAAAGAGCCACCCTTTTTTGTTTCCAAACCTAGTGTAACTGTAAAAAGAGAAGAGGTGGAACCATGCTACCATGTAGGATCTTCACATGATGCCTCTCTCATCACCCCCAATTCATCTAGGTCATTTAAACGTAAAATTGACTCAAAGAATCTTGAACAGGAACTTGCAGCAAAATGTAAACATAAGGAGGAGATAAATTTTAATTTTCCCAAGAAGGAAGATGAGAATCATGACAATTTCATAGAGCAAAAGACATTCATGAACAACACACATAAATCTAATTTTCAAGAAACCAGAATGGATATGGAAGAAAAAACAAATGTTCTTTTCAATTCTCAAGACCACAAAAATCATGAATTGAAGCTGATTCACAAAGCAGATAGGATCACAAATGTCTCAGACTGGAGTTTTGTCCAAGTAGATTCCAACTCAAACCAAGGAATTTGTGGAAAGGTACATCCTGCTCAGAAACTATTTGATTTCTTGAGATGCATGAAAGACAAGCAAAACCCAGGAGAGCACTTTTATATTTCTATGAATGAAGATCCAAATTTCTTCCCAAGATATTATATAGAGCGCAACAAATTTGTTTATCCAGATCAAACAAAATCTTGTCAAAAGGACACAATGATTCTGGGTGTGATATTGAGAATTTCTAAGGAAAAGCTGGAGCTTGGAAGATATCTTGGATTCTTTGAAAGTATTCAAGAGCAATTGCAATCAAGTTTACAATCAAAGATACAGATTTCTTCCACAAAGCGAGGCTGGAGTAGATTCAGTCAACTCAAATCAAGAATCAGATACATTACCAAGCTGAGTCACATCACAGTGACATTAATGATTTTGTATGTTTCACTCTTTGGTGGACACAAAGATGGGAGTTTGAGAGAAGAAAACATCATTGAGCTTGTGGATTTCCTTGAGGATCTGTGGAAAAGAATTGTAAAGGGTGGAGATAAGAAGTCAGTGTATGAAGATCATTTTGAAAATCAATTGCATGACTTATTGAACTTCAAAGAAAACAAAACCTTTTCTCCAAGAAGGATGAATATTGCATCAAGGGATATGGGAATGGCTTGGAAGATTGTTAAATATTGGGTGAATGAGACAGGCAGAGATCCAATGCATAAACTACAAGAAGGATTGGCATATAACAATTCATTAGTTGAGATCATCAACAAGATCATTTTCTATTCAAATTATCAATTCAAAGGCAAAAGTGTTCTTTAGAATTTTTTTTTAGAAATGTTTCTGAACTTAACTACAATTTACCATCCTGTCCCCATGTTACCTGAATTTCCAAAATTATCTTAAGTCCATCAATTGGTGGTGTGAGAGAGTTGTTGCAAAAAATCCCTTTCTCTAGCAAAGGCCAAGGCATGGCTCAGGGAAAATCCATGGCCTTCCCCCAGGAAAAGTAAAGGACTTGCCCTTACAAATTTGCAAAGTCTAAGGCCTTGCTCTAGCGAGACTGCACCTACTTTCCAAGAATTATTCCTTCTTGGCCATCATGTACAGACTGTACCCACTGGCTTGGGTAGACAAATCCTCATTGGTAGATGTAGACCATGTGTACCACCTGAGGAGAACTACCCCAAGCCAGTAGGTACATACCATACCCACTAGGCAGGCAGGAAACCTCCTTGACAAGTAGGTACAAACCATACCTATCAGCCAAGAAGGAATTATCTCCAACAGGTAGGTACCCCTGGCCAACAATTTCCCATCCAGGTAGACAAAGAGGAGGGATCAATCCTCAAAAAACCCAGACCCCAAATCAGCTCATGGGTGTCAGGCTCAAACCACTTGAAATCTTTGAAAAACCTCCTGGAAGGGAGAAAATTTGTCTCAAAGCTGTGAAAACAGTAAGATCAACTGCACAGACTACCTGATTTAGGATTTTTTAGATCTCTTGACAAAGACCAGACAACATTGCCTTCTGAGAATTACTTTGTTTGCATAAGCCTCAGTAAGTCCATCTCTTGTCTTATATCCTTTTATTGTTGCACCTGTTGATATAGCAAAATTGAGTCAACAATATCAAAAAGAACTTGTTTGCAGGTTGGACTATGAGTCAGATTACTTTGAATAAATAGAATTAATGGTGCTCCATGTCCCACTATTTCTGTTTCTATTTGGTATCAATAGGGGGTATCAAATATAACCAAATCCACCATTATTTAACTGACTGGTTTGAAAAAATCCACCCTTTTTTAAACATGTTGGTTATTCATCTAACCCCTTTTGGGGCCCATTGACACAAAAAAAGGTTTTGGGAAAAGTGACTGGTTTCTAATGGTGGATTTCCTATATTTGATACCCCCCAATGTAAAACTAGGATATCTGAACATTGATCTGCTTATAGAATTCAGGCTTACTACTTACAGATTATTTGGGTTTTCCACTTATTGAATACTAGGGCAAAAGCTAAGCATGAGATGATTGGTTAAGGACAGCTTTGGATTGAATATTCACTGTTTTTATGTCTGGTATTGCAAATGAAATCCAATGGGTGCTTTCCAGTGAATCTGCACACACAAACTTATACCAGCTGACCCCCTCCCCTCCCCATCAAAAAAAAAAAGAAATCATTCTGACATGAAAATAATGAACCCAATTGTGCATATAAACTCAGCAACTTCTTCCAAGGACCTCCATAAATAGAGAGATAGACAGTGTCAACTCCCGTCTCTTAGGTGACTAGGGGTTGATGGGTTGATTGGGTCACACTATGATTGTTTACACAATGTAGTGGAAAAGGGTCACACTATAGTTGGATGACCAACGTAGTGGAAATAGCCTCTTCTTTTATAATGGAGTATAAGAAGGGCTGCTCCTTATGTTTGTAAGGGACGACAACGGAATAGTGTTGCTGCGCCAGGCTTATGAGAATTGAGAAAGGTGGGTACTAGTCTAGTTACGAGGTTAACTGTAATGGACTAGTACAATCTAGAGGGAATAAAAGTAGTATGTAAGGCAATAGTAGATTAGATTAATAACCCCACTCACTTATTGTACTGTTGTAAAATAGGTAAGGCTAACGGGTTTGTATGGTAATCTCTGGGGGAAGGAATCCTAGAGGGAAAGCCTTCCTCCTTGAGTATTACAGAGCAGAGGTCATTCTGCTTGTAGGACCGGTACAGTCCCCATAAGGTTATATTATTTCCTTGGGGAGAAATGTCAAGATATTCTAAGAAGATTAAAGTACATGTGAGGAAAATCTCTCTTATTTCAGAAGATACACACAAGAGAGATAAACTAGACTTTCAGTATTTACAAGAGAGATACACTGGATAAATCTCTTTGATAATCATAAGAGATAATTATCCTTTTAAATCTGAGTATAACTTTCAGGAAATGGGTAAATTAATAAAGAGGTAAATCTTTAGGCCCCGTTTGGCCGTTGTGGTGGTCCAGGCTGTTGTGCGCAACAAAACTGCCAAAACCCCTACCTTATAACCTAAAACACTTACATATATGAATATATTGTTGCATAATCAGAATCTACATACAATTTTACCCATAGTCACTCACTACAACTATACCTCTATCTCTATTAGCTTAGAAGATAATCCAATATAAAGGTTAAAGCCATACCATAACTAGTCATTAATTAGTATTTAATAGTAGTTTACCACATATATATAAGTACATACACATAGATTATTACATCAGCAGGCCTCCACCAGTAGTGTAGACCGTTTATGCAATTCTTGCATGCATACACACAACCATTAGGCCTCCACGTAGTTACTTAATTGAATTTACGCAGACTTTGCATAAATGCATGTGGACAGAAAAACCTCCACCAGGCAGTGCAAGAAGTTATGCAACCCTTACATAAAGTAGTACCATATTTAGTTATTTCTACAGCATAATTAGCTCAATGCATGTACTCTTTGCAGGAGGCAGTGCAACCCACAAGGTCACCACCAGCAAAATCACCTCAACTGCATCACCACCAGCAAAAATAACTCAGAAAAGAATATATAAGGAGGCCTCTCCTTCACCAATTCCCCCCATCATCACTCAGCAGCCCAGCTCCCACCCAGCTAGCTCAGTGGTCATCAACACAAACACCTCCAAAATTAAAGTCTAATCAACACCAGTAACACCAACACCAACACCAACATCAACATCAACACCAACACCAACAACAACAACCAACAGTTTCACTACTTATCCAGAATCACCGTAAAAACCATAAAACCCTATAAAAATATTCCACTTGGATTGTTTTCACACCCATACTCACTGTGTAAAGGTTGTACAACCATCTTGTATTGAATTACATACTGATCTAGGTCTGATAGAGACTACTACATATAAGTTTTCTCCATCATAAAGTTACGCCACAACAATAAATTAAATTGCTGTCAGAATTCTTGTGTAGTAAATAGAGGGGCAGGTCTTTCAAACCACCCGTAACAGTAAATATTACTTAGTGAAATATCATTATTGTTATTTCCCCCTCAAGGACTGCCAACCCATCCCAAAGGAGTTCTCACACCGTCCGTAATTTGTAATTTTGAGTCAAGGTTTGGCAGGAGTTTGTGCAAAAACTTTATATTGTTTGATATCGTATGGTCCAAATCTGCACCAAACCTTAGCCAAATCACAAATTGTGATTTGCGGCCAAACGGGGCCTTATTAATTTACTGGAGGACTTCCCGTCGGATCTGGGACCCTTGCAGTTTTTGATTTAGACCCAAAAAGTCTAGATTTTTGCAGGGAAATCTAGCTTTTGCGGCTCCAAATGGAAACTGGGAGACCCGCAGATGTTGAAGGGAAGTCATCCACTAAATATTTATTAACATAAATAATACATATAAAAAAGAATAACATTACTGTATACTTATTAACTTAAAAATCTACATATAACTAAAAAAATAGCCTCAGAGGGCCAAACAAACCGTCAGGCTTGAATAGTGCTTTCTATTGATTTCTCATGCGGCTTCTAACGCCGGCGTCGATATTTCACTTTTCAATGTCATTTCTGACATTCACTAAGACTTTACAATCATAGCGACCTTCAAAATCGAAGGCTATTACACCATAGGACCTTAAACAAGTAAAACCCCCAACATCCGGGGCAAAAACAAGCAGCCTCCCCAAATTTGGGGGCATATACTAGTTACATATAATAATATTTGTCATGTAACCCAAGGGGGTTACATTCTATTGTAGACACCTGGGCTAGTGTCTCAGTGTCTGACAGACAGACTAGTTTGATGCTCCCTGCCTGAGAGATAGAGAATTGTATCGATTCCAATACACACATTCACGAACCTGTGTTGGAGACAGATAAAGAAATCTCATTTTATGCGTAAAGCATACTTGAAGAATGCCAAGGAAAAGTTCAAGGAAAGATCATCAATGTTAATTTGTTTCAATCAAATTTGATTAGGGAAAAGGGCAAGAGAACAAGGAACAGATAGAGATTGGATCAAAACAAGCGAAAGGAGGTAATCAAACATTAATATGTGTGTAAGATACGTTGTGAGATTAAGTTGAAGGAGTGAAGCGAAACATCGCAAAAAAAAGGGGGGATGTGTGCAAGACGGGGAGGGGTTAGAACCAGAAAGCAAAGGGCAAGATGAGCCCGACGCTCTGGGCAGAAAGTCGCAGGAAAGCAGGGTAGAGGGAGAAGGGAGGAGTGGCCGCGGAACTGGCAAAGATGTTGGTGCTGTTTCTAGAATAGCCTTGGCCGAGAGGTGTTGAGGCGCGGTCGACAGGTTTGGGTGGCGGTGGTGGGACGGCCGAAGAGTTGGGGCTGATGGGACTGCCGTAGTGATTGGAATACCTCATCGGCTCTGTCGACGGGTTTGGGGGCGGTTGAGCTGGTATCGGCGTCGGGTCCGAGGCAATCGTATTGTTGTTGTTGTTACCGCTGCTGCTGCTGCTAGTCGAATTACTGCTGGGAAGGAGAACAAAGTGAGATACGTAAAGTGTTATAAATGTGATTAGCTGCTTGATCTGAGGGTCCTGGAGGGCCTCGCATCATGAGGGGATCCTGGAGTGGGATCTCTTGTTCACTTAAACAGCTTGCCGGCTTGCTATCACCTGAAATCAAAGTTCAAGTTTTTGTTCCCTCTCCACCTCTTTTTCGTTTCTTTTCCATGACTAAAAGGTGAAGAGGAAAAAAGAAGAGAAACCGGAGATAGATAAAAGCAGAAGAGAATTTGAAAATTGCAACCAACGATGTCTATGGTGTCTATGACTCTCCGTGTATCTACATTCTTGTATGCTTAGGATGCATTTATCGCAACAGTAATTTGGGAACAACTTTTGGGTTTAACAATAGATGAGAAATAGTTCGGATACACGTGATTTTGAATGGACCATCCACTGGCGGAATAACATTAATAATTTACATATATAGACCAGGACTAGGAAGATGTGAAGGAGGATTTAATCATGTATTATTTTGGTTCACAAGATGCTTTTTTGTACTGATTCGTGTGTGCGTACTTGTTTTTGATGGCTTGGTTGTCCAGGAACCCAGAAATTCTGAGCAACCTCTTTCATGATAAATTGGAAATGATTTTAAGAAGAAAAAAAAAAGGAAAAAATGGTTCGACAAGATGAGAGCGAAAGAAAATTCCGTCCTTACTTGATTGACGGGCTGGTGGTTGATTTCGAGTTCACAACGATTGGAGTCGAATTTGAATCGATGTACTTCTCCGGATCGTTTGGATCATTAGCTTGAACGACAAAAACTGAAGATCCAAGGTGATAAATGCAGAAAGAATCGCGGGCGGGAAAAATGATTAATGATGATGAAGAACGGATGACATAATGAATCAAGAGCTCAACGATAATTTCCAAGCGTGATGTGATCAGGACACCTTAAAGTTTCGTCTACCGTCTGGTCATTACTGCTTGTCCCAAGGACATACTCTTTATGGACGAATGCAGTGGACATCGGCTTGAGCAAGAATTTCAACATTGTAGAGAGCGGGGCGGTCTGGAAAAAGAAGATTACAATGTAATTCAAGATCAGCTCAATAAAGCTCTTCTTGCCAAAAACAAATTATCAAAATTCTGTTGGTAACGGACATTCTTAGTCATCTTCACATTAAAGACCTGTCCTGGGACTATACTTTGATAAGACATCGGTTCAAGCAAGACAGACACTTGGGCTGCTTGGCGAGACTCGGAGGTTTCAATTGATCTTTTGACTACCTCATTTGCTTGTTGATTTTCGAGATCGGGGCCGAAGCCTCTTGGGTTAGCTAACGTGATAGTGACCTGGTCGACGTCTTCGAAGAAGTCCGGCTTCGACATGGAACTCTTTTGGGCGACGAACGCTGGAATATTGGAGCAGGGTACATGGAGGCATCAGTTCGTGGCTAAGGCTACGCATCTTTGAGGGACAATGTGGGACTGCTCAACTGTAGGTGCCTGGGGTGACACTGGACGGGATTTGACACATCGTCTGAGCTACATTCTTCTTCATCTCGCAATTTCCGACTTGAAGGTCGCTCCTTCCATCATCAAAGCGCAAGCAGAACTTGACGCGCTCGGCATTGATCTTGATGGATGGAGATAGTAAGTAAGACACCCATTATCTAAAAGAACCAAAGGACTGAAGATGTGAACAGGCAAGGCTTACTCCATTCGAAAGTTGACATTGGAAGACTTTCCCCCCGGAGATGAATTGGTTGTAAACCGGCACAATCAGCTGGGCTGTGCTGGACGATTTTTTCGGAGGGAGCAGGGGAGCTTGAGAGGCCATCATCAAGGTTTGCCCATGAGATACGATAACGGAGGCAGAAATGACATCCAAAAACCTCTGAGGTTTCTTGATCGAGTTCACAAGTGCCACAATATCTATCAATCAAAAGAAGAGGTTCAGCATAAGATGTTAGAAGTAGAGAAAACCCCGCAGGGAGCTTGGAGAACAAACTGTAAGTATCATAGCGAAGATTGCTTGGACAAGTGGCCTTGAGTGTGGCGATCCCATTGACAAACTTAGTCGACCCCAAGTATTGCTCATACCCGCCGAAAGAGCGGAGGACGAATCGAACGGTCTCGGAAGTAGCATGCTGGAAGAAACGCAAAGGTCAGCAAAGGTTTGACTAGGCAGAGTAAAAAAACAAAGAAAATACTTTCTCGACAACTAACTTTATCTTGGATCTTACACAAAAATGTGGATCCGCTTGGCACTTCTTGATTGGGCACAGGCTCGAGCATGCTAGGAGAATCCCGCGTTTGTCTGACCTCGAACTTTTTGGGCGCGACGGGCTGGCTCTGGGGAAGATCCTCAGGGACAGTAACCGGTAAGAGTGGGTGAACTTTCTTTTCGAGAGGCTTTGGTACTCCGCCCCAGCTAGACAATTGACCTGCGTCTTTCGTGAGCAAGTCTCGAGATTTTAACGTGTTAGGCGGCCTGAGCTGTGCCACTCGGATTTGAACCGAGCCGACGTCCTTGACTTTCTCCGCTGAGTATACTTCCTGAGCCACCAGTTCTACGAGTAGCCACAAATTCAAACAAAAACGGGTGAGGGGTCTTAGATACAGCTCGAACCTTATATGAAAGATCAATCATAGTAATTAAAAATCTCAACGAAACTGTAAGTCCCGTTGGCGATGGCCAGAGGGAAAAATAGTCGAGTGTTGCAGGTGGTTTCATTGGTAAAAAGTTGCTCGGATTCTGCGTTTCGGCTGAATAAGAGTAGTTCTTTCTGCTTAGGATTCGCACTGATGGGTCTGAGGATAAACCTCATCTTGTCACTTTTTCGACCCTTTTGATTTAAGTGACTCGCGAGTTTTATATCAATTTTCGATCATTTTAACTTATCCAATGTTTTTTCCAAAGTACTTTTGAGGCTTACAGCATTAATAAAAGAAATGTTGAGATGATGGCCGGTCGTAATCTTTTGATTTTCGGTGGGCGATATGAATGTCGGGTTGGTACTCTTTTGAGGTGGTGAGCTGATCTCGGACCTGATCTTCAAGGAGGCGCGATTGGTGGCTAGTTGAATTTCTTCTTCCATCTGTTTATCGATGTCCAAAGGTTCCTGCTGGGTTACGATGGCATCTTCGGCAACAATCTGAATCTGAATGGTCGCGGCACTTTGAAAGCGGTTGGGACTTTGAGGATACTCTTCTTCCGCCTCCAGCGCTATTATTCAATAGGATAGTCAATTTCGGTAAGAATAAGAGCTAACTGGTAGAAACACTCAACAGTATACCCCGGGAGGTGTTCCTTCGGGAAAAGTGACGTTCGTCACGATGGCGACCCCATCGAATTTATAAAGACCTTCTTGAGTTGCATTGGGTCCGGCAAGAACCAGCTCTTGGGGCCCTATGGGCTTGACGAGTGGCCTTAATACAAATCTAGCTTGGGTGACACCTGGATCCAATTGCTAGAGGAAGGCACCATCCATACCAAAAGATGAGCAAATGCCGTTTGTCAGCATTTTGATTCTGCCAGTAATCCTAAGAAACATGAACAAAAAAAAAGCCAATTGGTTGGAGATGGCCAGACATACCCCATCTAAGAAGCGAATTGAGATTGGTTCGCCAGCTTTGACAGATTGATTGCTGAGTGGGGTGACAAATTTGGGGGGATGGGGTGCACGCTTTTGAAGCGCAGGACTTGAGTGGGTCTGAGGATCACTAGAGTGAATTTTTTTCTGGTTTTCCTCGACTTGGTTCCTGAACGGAGCAAATTCCATCTGGTTTGCACGAGCATGGCCGACAAAAATCGTGCAGATGACCACATCAGTGTTGAAGTCATCTGAACCGAATGGGCCGTCGTTCTCGGAGACCACAAAATCTACGCAAATTTTCTGCTTTTCAGAATGGGCTCATTATTTGATCAAGTTGCAGTGAGGGTTTTTCTTGTAGGGCTTACCGTATGTACCATCAGCCACCCAAGCCGGCAAAGTAACTTTGTAGCTGATTCGCCCTTTGCTCTTCAAGGAAGCTTTGCTGATAAAATAGACCCCCGTGTAGTTGGAAAGAGAGAATCGAGCTTCGGTGGCAGATGTTCCCTGAGTCGAAAAAAGTTGGGACAAATTCGAAAAAAAGGAAAAACAGAGAGAGTCAGTCAGAGACTCGAATAATAATTTTTTAGCGAAGCCTTAATACCGGGTCCGTAAAGCTGATCGGGAAGGCTTGGCCACGAAAGAACCTTTGACCCGATAAGGGGGACGAGAGTGTCGCGTATTGTGGAGAAAGCTCTCGGTCAGCCACTGTTCGATAGTCAGTTGGCGGCGGAGGAGCTAGGACAATTTGGGCCAAAAGAGCCAAGAGATAGGCTGAAAAGGAGAAGTGTCTCATTTTGCGAGGTGGGACTTCAGAGAGAGGCGAGAGTTTTTGCGAGGTCCGGTGTGAAGGGCCTTGTCTCTTGAGGATAAGAAAATATTCAGGAAGAACGGAAAAGGAGTGGAACCTGCTTAGAGTGTTCAGAGCTGTTTAACGATATGCATGCGTTTTTTTTTTGTTCGGGTCAGGTCTGTGGGCTATGTGACTCTCTTGAGTGAACAGTGCGTAAGGGGAGTTTTAAGCTTCAGGAGAAGACAAGAGTGAGGATGGATTGGGTTGGAAATTATTCTGGTTATGTAGGTGGTTGGATGGAGTGGAGCTGGAGAGTGAAGCTGGGCTGTATATAAAATCTGGAGGGTACTCCAGTGTGTACAGCTGCTGTATGTTAGTATGGAGCTTCCCAAAGGAAGAGCCCTGCTGATCGAGTGGAGGAGGAAAGATTTCACTGGAGTTGATGGCAATTTCCAGAGTTCCTAGCGGAGGGTCAGAGCGGGGCCATCCAGATTAATGACTCACCCCAATCTTGAACAAGCTATCGACAGTGATGGTGCGATCACTCGGAAGGGAGAGTCCGTAACTTTCTGCGATGGACATAGAATATGATACCTACAACCAATCCACCTGCCTATAAGTCACAAATATCCATCTCTTCGATGTCTATCCCGTGCAGGTGCTATGAATTTGGTTGATGATGGATGAATATGTTATAGACGGAGGGTGAAGTGAAGCGGTCATGAAGAGTCAGACGATATATTCTTGCCGGAGATTTCGGTTGGGCAGAATTAGTTTGCTGGGTTGTGGTTGCAGAAGCGTGGCCGGCCGGAGCACTCTGGCCGGCGCAATGGACCCCCTTCACCTTGCCGTCAGCCTTGAGGCCTGAGGCCAACTACATAGATCCATCGAGTCGGAAGTCCTGGTATGACTTTCCAGCTCAGGTGGTATTTTCGGACTGTTTCCACCTTCAGATCAGTCGGACGGGAGTCGGCCTCATTGTCCATGCCTTGCATTCGATTCGAAAACTTCTCACTCACAACCTCCCATCACCCGACCCCCACCATTCACCGCTAGAATGAAGTAACAAGAACTACCGAGTGGAAGGTCCATACCGGTATTTTCGAGTGTGTCGCGGAATATCACCATTCTCGTCGGCCGGTTGACTCCACCGGTTCGTTGCCGCATTCATAAAGTTGATCAGCTTCCTCTCGATCACTATCATCCGCGAGACTAAAATGAGTTTTGTGTTTAGCTATTCTCACACATATAAAGATGGACTCACACAAGACATTATTCAAAATCATGCTTAGGATGGAAACATGAATTAGCCACCGCTTCATTCGAGCTATATTCACACAACAAAACGGGGAGTGAGTGCGGCTACTCCCATTTTCAGGGGTGACTGGAACCCCATGAGGGGGGGGGGGGGGGCAGATGAACTTTGGACGGTTGGGAATATCACCATCAACAACTCTTCGGCGATTTTTCTGCTAAATCCTCCACTCTGGACATACTCTCCCTAGCCTTTTTATCCATCCGCCTCCCCATCATGAATCACAGGAAAGAAAAATACATCTATTCGACCCGCTTGAAAGTGCCCCTCTTCTGGGCTTTCTCTACTCACAAAATTAATGTGGTTGAGAACTTCGCTGGGTCTGTCACAATACCCTCAGTAGTACCAAGTGGAGAAAATTTACAGCTTTGAGTGGAGTCCCTCTGTAATTAAATGGGGCACGACATGTCTTGCCTGACCTTCAGCTTGGCGATCGCCCAATCCAGGCTCAGCCTCGAGCCCCACACGCACTGTTCAGGAGAGCTTTCCGATTTCCTCTTTGTCGTCATCGCTATTTCCATCATTCATATCTCTTCCTCGTTGCAATCATCATGATCATGATCCTCACTCTTTTGAACAATGTTTTTCTTGGCCCGTGTGATGATAGGTCCCGCAATGCCAAATTGAAAGCCCGCAACTTCTCTGACAGAGGGCCTGCAATCTAAAATCGGGAGCAAAAAGGCCGTTGGAAAAGGGAGGATACCCCGGGGTTCTATGCACCCGGCGGTCTTATCAGGAGTATTAATAATTTCAGCTAGGGACAGCCCCGTGGTTTATGTATGTTGGTTTCAGTCGGTTTGCTTTTTTTTATAGGTTTCAAAAGTCTCAGAAGGCTATGGAAAGCTAGACTTGAAGTTGAAAAGGCCAATAACATGAGGAAACATTGTCCCGGTCCCTGTTGCGGCATGTTTTGGTGTGGGATCTGCCCCACGTTGACTGGGAGGGTGAATTTGTGGGGGGTTCTTGGCTCTTTCCCTGAGATTCCGGTCAGCTCGGCCTAAAAAACTTGTGCATGTCATGACTGCTGAGCTCGACATGGCTCGGGAGAAACAAGAGGATTGTCCTCCCTTCCCTCCTCTATTGTCCAACTTGTCAAACACGCCACTGCCCGATGGGGACCCTTGGCGAATCTAAGTTGGTATGACATGGCTTCCCCTCGGGCAGTATGATTTTGCGGTTTAGAGGCGGGTTGAAGGAGCAGGAGGATGACTGTCCTCCGCCCCGTAACCGGCTGGACCAGCCGAATGTGAGCATCTATTAGGCGAGCACAAATGAGTTGGGAACAAGAGGCTACTTCGGCTCCATCGGTGACCGCACCCGTTTGGATGAGGCCAAGTCGCCATCGGCAATTTAATGACGGCTACGTAGATGTGTCTATTCTTGTCAGCTTGCTACTATGGCAGAGACAACCTGTCATAGCAAAATAAAATAATAAAATTACACAAAAATCTAAGAATAAAGTAAAAATATTACATAAGTAAAAGAAACTAATTTACTTATGTAAATAACATAAAAAACACTTAAAAATATATAAATAGCTTAGAAATAGTAGAGAAAACCTTAATTATTATTACAAATTCTGAATCTACGTACAAATTAACCTAGGGTACCTCAGCCAAAGGTACCCCTAATTATAACTCCTTCATCATGTAATACTCACTTGAAGAATTAACAGGTACCCATGGATCACGGGCACCTGAATAATTATGCACTATACATTACAATATGCATATACTCCAAATCTTGTCTCAGATTTGGAGTGTTGTGTATAGTTTGGAAGATAGACCAGCGTGGCGTGTACTGTCTCCAAGCCCGCGCGCCGCGTAGTCATGCTGCGCACTGATTGACAGGCGCGCCTGACTACAATTGAGCCCAAGGCTCAAGCCCCCGCGCGTGCTAGGTATGCCTACCCGCCTTGGATACATGCATAACCCCCTCTGGGTTACCAGTATCCAAGAAATGGGCCACAAGCGCCACAGAATCCTCACTACACGTGACAACAAAGCCTCCACACGTGTAATAAATATATAAACAAGCTAGAATATGCATGAAAATACTACAGTAACCCTAGAATATTCTATATTCCAAGTGGCAACACGTGTAGCCAGCCTCAGAAACCACCTCTTGGATATTCTGTGGCCCATTTCCAAGGAAATAGCTCCACGTAACAGACTAGCCCCTACCCACAGGCTCCTAAGGGATATTCTTGGTTCAAATAAATTCGTGCATGACCCCTTGGAGCTTCTAGAATATTATCCCCAAGGTTTCAGCCCTTGTTGCGTCACCATGTGGGCTAAAATGGGCCCAAAAGCGCTCCCAAGACCTACTAAGCTCCCCTGAGCAACCCCTGAGACCTTCCACAGGTATTTAAAGGGCCTTCTGACCGCCCAAATAATGATCCCCCAGCTTTACAATACTATATAGAAACATACTTACCATTTACAAGTCCCCTACACTTGTAATTAGCCTAGTTACTACTATTATTGCTGTTATTAAAGCCTCAAAATTCCCCAAGAAACTCAACAGTTATCACCCAGCACCCAAAACCAACCTTTCTGAGCGCTCCCAACTGTCCAGTTTCAACTCTGAAGATCCTCAAGACCCCATAGGATTATTACTAGTAAGTAATAACCCTTTTCTTGAGATTTTCCCCTTAAATTCTTCCTGGGATTTAAACCACACCTGTTCACAGGCCCCAGTGTTCCAGGTACCTAAATCCTCTGCTTTTGCACGATACCTTAGAGGGATTAAACCACCCCTGATTCATCAGGCCCCTCTGGTTTTATTTATATTAATTTTATTAATATAAATTGGCCATTTTTCCTACTAAATTTACGCCATAAATTCCTTATTTTATTGGAATTTATTCCTTTAGAATTAAAACCAAAAACCTTTAAGCTTTTTGCTTGCTTTTGCACCTCGTGTAGCTAGAAGATTATACATCTTGGCATCACGTAGGCTGACAATTGGGGGTCTGGCCGGGAAATTTTTATTAAAATTACCTTTTTAATAAAAATAAGCCACCTGGAACTTATTCTCAGTTTTTTTTCTCACAAAAATTAAAACAAAAACCCTTAAAAAAAAAAAGTATCCTTTTTTCACGGTCATCTTTCTCATTACTTCAGAAAAAAATATAAAATTAAAACATACACCATTTTTTTTTATCACTAAAACCAAACCCATAAAAATATACATCTCCCGAATCCTTTTATCATTCTTACTTCAAAAACTTATAAAAATTAATTCCGGTTTTTTGCGATACTCTTTTCTCAAAAATCTCCAGTGAATTTGCAAGAGAACGCCGAATTAATCCAGCGCTATCTTGTTATTCTTAGGTTGCGACGAGAAGAAACAGATCGTAATTATATTCCTACTCCTTGGGAAAGATTATCCGAAGAGGAACAGCTTCTCCTCGCCACCTACCACGCTCACGTTCATCAAGAAGAAGATCTTGAAGAACAATTACGGTTCCGGACTTTCCTCAGGGACATTAGAGCTAAAAATAAACAGCTCCATCTAAAAAGATATCTTGAAAAAAGTCAGACTCCTAACACTTCCTCCCTTTTTCATTGGTACCTTAACTCTAGCCGATTAAAAGAAGCTGATTCTTATCTCTTCTTATTTTATACCTCTTTTAGTGTCTACTATCGAAGCAGGCGTCATCAGGCAAGAACGCGCTAGTCCTACCCCCTCGGTGGATACTGACAACGGTTCCGTTAGTCAGACAACTGAAAGTAAGTGTCCCGAAAAGGAACCTACAGTTTCATAAACGCCTTCACAACCTCTCTTACTTACTAACTATTTGTTGATATGACTAAATCCACTAGATCGAACCACCCGGAACTGCGAGGACCCCTCCCCGCTCCAACGCGACCTCGCGGCAGCAAAGGAGCTGCAAACCCGAGTGAACAACTTACACATGACTACCATCCGTCGCAAGGAGGCTCAGACAACGGTAGAGAATTCCGAGAGACTCCAAGAAGACCAAACTCCGAATACGGAGAAGGATTCGGCTATGGACGTGGACGAGCTCGACCCCGAATGCTTGGTAGCTATCCAGAAACGCCCTTCCACGCCGGAAATTCGAGTCCTTTCCAAGGAGGATCAAATCAAACTCCGGGTGAAAGAGCACGTCGGGCTCTGGAAGCAATGCCAAGTAGCTTCCAGAGAACGGCCGACGGCAAGGCTCAGAGCCTTACTGACTACCGCTCAGGAGAGTCAGAAGGCTCTTCAGAAACTCATCGACAACGAGGAGATCGAGAGTTACGTGAAAGGGTGGAACCCTTGGGACGAGAAAAAGATACATTTCCCGCCTCCTCCCAAGAAACAAGTGATGAAGTTCAAAAGAAACGACTCGGGCAAACGACAAAGCTCAACTTCGACAAACTTCGCCGATCCCGTCAAGTGGAAGAGAGTAGCCGACTTACTCCAGACGGCTTCCGGACTGTATCAGAACCTGTAACCGATCCCAAAGTAACCCTTAAGATCATCGATTCCCTAGAAACCCTCAATTTCAATATCTCTACATTAGATTCTAACAGCGAAAGCAATTTCGCTAGTATTGTACATAGTCTAGATGCTGCTACTACTAAAATGAAAGAGAATGTCGATAGTATTTGTTCTAAAATAATCCTACAGCTAAACAAACCTTTGCCGATTGAGTTGACTCCAAGGAATAGTGAGCAATTAACTATCATCCAAAAAGATGTTGAGTATCTCCGCGAGACCTCAAAAGACAACAAAGAAATTGTTAATGAGATCGTTCAATTTGCGAGAAACTCAGCAGCCCAGAGTACGGCTCAGGCTGATTACATCTTATCCTCTATCAGACAAGACGCGATAGTTGAGAGAGCAAAGTTTGATAGAATAACTTCCGAGTTAAAGAATCTAGTAATACAGAAGTACGCCGACACCGATAACAAAATAGACCTATTGAGTAAATTATTCCTGGATCAGTTCAACTCAATCAAAAAAGAGTTCTCTTCAGGGAAAAATAATAAACCAGATGTACAGTCCAACTCTGACAACCTTGAAGAAAATAGACCTGCTAAAACAGAGGACAGCTATCCAAGGCGCTCTCAGTCTACTCGCCTAACAAATAGAGATGCTCCTCCGCATCAGACCAATAGTAACAACCAAGTTAGAAATAGTTCTGAGCAGGAAGAAGAACCAAAGTACAATAATCCTTTTATGCAATCAAGCTCTCCTCATGTCAAAAGCTGTTCTCCTAATCCTCTTAATTCTGATTCTAGAATACAAAGAAAATCAAATGAGGATATAGATTTTATAAGAAATTCAACACCTTATACTGCGGCTGAGCTAGCTAATTTAAATAAATATATGCCTCCAATAAAAGATTGGCCAGAATTTGACGGAAAAGATGAATATGATCACATTAGCTTCATTAAATATATAGACTATTTGTTAAGAACTTACATGGCCCCTGATGATATGATTACATCCAAGCTCCCTAGGATAATGAAAGGAATAGCAGGAGATTGGTTTGTTACCAAAAGCCAATCCATAGGATTACAAAGTTGGGCTACTTGGAAGGAATTAATCATTGCCAGATTTAGCACCAGAGTGTGGAAAACTGCTAAAAGAATAGCCTTTGAAAGTGACTATTTTGACCCAGTTAAGCATTCTGTTGGGGAATGGTGCTTACTCCAAAAGAAAAGGATTGAATGCATTTACAATAATCCCACAGCAGAAGAAATAAATGACAGGTTATTAACTCAATGCAAAGGAACCATAGAACACCTAGTCAGATGTAGGCTAAAAGATATGGATGTTGATCTAACAGAGTTTGTAGGAGTATTAGAGGAAGTTGTGATCATGAATGGCTTGAATAAAAAATATGTCAGAAGTAACATACCTGAAAAAAGAGAATTCATCAAGCCAGACAACGTCAAAGAAAAAGCTCCTTCAGCTGAAGCCCCCGTAAGAAAGGCTAGCATACCTGAGTGTTATAACTGTGGAGAAAAGGGCCACAAAAGACCTGAGTGCCCTAATCCCCGCAAAAAGATCAATAATGTGGAAGTATATGAAGAGACTGACAGTGAATATGATTCTGGATCTCAATTTGATGTCATAACCACTGAACCAGGAGAAGAGGAATCTCATAGAATTGTGGTAATCCAAGCTGATATTGGTGATGAATTACATATCAATACCATCCAAGGAGATTCTAATTTACCGCAGAAATGGGATTCTTCCATGAAAATTGGTCATGTTTCTGATGCTAAATTGCTCACTAATAAACCAGAAATAGGAATGAGTTACACTATGGGAAAAACTAGTTACACTTCTGTTTTATTTGAAGATAAATCAGTAAAAGCTTTACTAGATATTGGAGCCTTTTGCTCATGTACCAGTAGCAACTTCTTAGATGAAATACATCCAGAATGGAAAAATAATTTGCTGCCTGTACCCAAAGCAAAATTTAGTAGTTGTAATTCTTCAATGAAACCCTTAGGAATTGTAGTAATGCCATTAATCTTTCCGCACTCCAAAGGATCTTTAAGACTGTCCATAGAATTTGTAGTTCTTCAAGATGCCATATGTGATTATTTGATCCTAGGAAATGACACTTTTTGCATGTATGGAATTGACATATTTCAAAGTAAAAACAGATTCTATACTATTGGAGGGGATTGGAAAAGGAAATTTCAAATTTGCAATGTGAATATCAAACTCCCTGACGTGCCAGATGAAATGACAGAAGAAATGATGTCCTTCAAAGCTGAATATCTGTCTCAAGCAGCTGTTAGTGATATTTTAGACGAGCAACAGAAATTAGACGTACTTAAAACTTGCTTCATAAATAAAGAATCCTTTTGTACTACTGAAGAACCTATTGGTAACATAAAAGGGCATGACATGAAGTTGGAATTGACTGTTAAAGAACCTTATCCTCCCATCTTGAGAAGACCCCCTTATCCTTCCCAGTCCTAAATCCAGAGAAGCTTTAGAAACTCACATTAAAGAGCTAATGGAATTAGGAGTGCTAAGAAAAGTTGGACACAATGAACAAGTAGAAATTACTACTCCAGTAATTATTGCTTGGCATAATGAGAAGTCAAGAATGGTTGGGGATTTCAGGGCTCTGAACAATTACACTAGACCTGATTATTACCCAATCCCACGTATTGATCACTCCTTGCATAATTTATCCAAAGCCAAATATATTACAACTATGGATGTTCTTAAAGGTTTTCATCAAATACCCATTGATCCTGACAGCAGACAATTTTTGAGAATAATTTGTCATTTGGGAATATATGAATATTTGAGAATGCCATTTGGAATCAAAAATGCCCCTTCCCATTTTCAGAGAATGATGGACTCAATTTTTGGTGCCTTTATCAGACAAGACTGGATGATGGTCTACATAGATGATATAATTATATATTCAAATGATTGGGAAACCCACTTAGAGAAAATAAATCTAGTGCTGAGTACCGCCATCAAAACTGGTTTAAAAATGTCCATTAAAAAGTGCAACTTTGGTTATGGAGAACTCAAAGCTCTAGGTAGGATAGTATCTGGCCTAACTTTAGCTGTAGATCAAAACAAAGTGGCTGCCGTAATGAACAAAGCTCTCCCTCATAACTTGAAAGAAATGATGTCATTCCTAGGCTTTTGTAGTTACTACAGGCAACATATTCCTCAATTTGCCATAGTAAGCAAGAATTTATACGCACTGTGTAAAGATGACACCATTTATGAGATGACCTGGGAAAGAGTCAAAAATTATGAAGAATTAAAAAGATTACTCACTTCTGCACCAGTCCTAGCCCAACCCAGATTATGACAAACCATTTATACTTTATATTGACGCTTGTTTAGATGGGCTTGGAGCTGCTCTTCATCAAGAATTTATTGTAGATGACAGACCCATGGAAAAACCAGTCCTTTTTATATCCAGACAAATTAAAGAATCTGAGAGGAAATATGGAGCCAGCCAAATGGAATGCTTAGCTTTGGTATGGGCTCTAGACAAATTACATTACTACTTAGAAGGTTCTAACTTTGTAGTTATCACTGATTGTACCGCAGTTAAAACTCTAATGAATATGAAAACTCCCAACAGACACATGTTAAGATGGCAAATTGCTATTCAGCAGTATAGAGGGCATATGACCATAATCCATAAAGCTGGCAAGAAACACATGAATGCTGATGGATTAAGCAGATGGGCACTCCCTAATACCCCTGATAACCCTGCATATGATCCTGAGGACGAAGACATATTCCCTATTTTGGGAATTCACGTATGTGACATGGAAAATGCTTTTTATGAATTAGTTCAGAAAAGTTATGACCAAGATAGTGAATTACTAAAATTGGTAGAAATATTGAGAAATGACAGTAGTCCCCCAGAACTGGCAGCTAGTTTACCACCTGTCCTGTCCAAACATTATAAATTAGGCAAATTCACGTTATTTGATGGTTTGTTGTATTACAGGCACAAACACTCAAGTGTACTTGTCTTATGTGATGAAGGACAAATAAAAAATATTCTACAGGAATGTCATGATAATGTGAATTGCGGCCACTTTTCAGAAGAGAGAACAGTAGAAAGAGTCAAACAAACTGCCTGGTGGATTGAATGGAAAACACAAGTTCATGAATACATTAAATCTTGTGACACCTGTCAAAAAGCAAACAAACAGACAGGCAAGAGATTTGGACTGCTTCAGAAAATTGCTGAACCCACGGATAAATGGGAAATCATTAACATGGACTTTGTTACCGGACTACCCCCAGGAGGATCCTACTCCTACAACTCAGTACTAGTCATAGTTGATAGATTTTCCAAGAGGGCAAAATTTATCCCTAATCATAAAGATGACACAGCAATGGAAGTAGCTATGTTATTCTGGAACAGACTAATGGCTGACGTGGGAATTCCCAAAATAATCATTAGTGACAGAGACCCCAAATTCACATCTGAATTCTGGAGAAACTTACATGATATGTTAGGAACCAAATTAGCTTTCTCCACTGCTTATCATCCTCAGACTGATGGCTTGGCGGAAAGGATGATACAAACCCTAGAAGACATGCTCAGAAGATTCTGTTCATTCGGATTTGAGTTCAAAAATCATGATGGATATACTCACGACTGGGTAAGCCTACTACCTGCCTTGGAAATAGCTTATAATAGTAGCATACACTCCTCTACCAAAGAAGCTCCTTATATACTTGAAAGAGGATGGATCCCACGAATGCCCAAAGATACCATCAATGACAAATTACCTCATGTACACCCTACAGCACTGGACTTCAAGAAAATGTTAGATTCCACAAATTTACATGCCAAGAAATGTGTTGAAGATGCTGTAGAGTATAATAAGAATAGATGGGATAAAGAGTCATAAAGAACCTGAATTTAAGATTGGAGATAAAGTACTTCTGTCCACTGTAAATTTTAACAACCTTGGTGGGAACAAGAAGCTCAAACCTTCATTTGTTGGTCCTTTCACTATTAAACAACTACACGGGAAGAAATGCTGTAGAGGTCATATTGAGTGAAGAGTTATCTAGAAAACACCCTGTTTTTCCAGTAAGTCTTGTTAAACCTTACACTCAAAGAACAGCAGATACTCCTGTAACCCCAGAACCAGTACCAGTTCTAGAAACTCCTTCCACTGAGAAACTTAAAGTTCACAAGATACTCAAAGATAAGAAAGAGAGGGTACAAGGTAAAGATACTAGACTTTACCTGATTAGGTATAAGAACCAGTCAGCTGACAAAGATGAATGGCTACCTGAGAATAATATCCCAGATGGAGCCATACATTTGAGAAATTACAGAGCTTCCAAAAGAACAACCTGAATGGTGGCTAAGAAATTTTTCTTTTTCTCTCTCTTATTCATTTTTTTTATGAGTAAACTCATCTTAGGGGTAGGGAATGTCAGCTTGCTACTATGGCAGAGACAACCTGTCATAGCAAAATAAAATAATAAAATTACACAAAAATCTAAGAATAAAGTAAAAATATTACATAAGTAAAAGAAACTAATTTACTTATGTAAATAACATAAAAAACACTTAAAAATATATAAATAGCTTAGAAATAGTAGAGAAAACCTTAATTATTATTACAAATTCTGAATCTACGTACAAATTAACCTAGGGTACCTCAGCCAAAGGTACCCCTAATTATAACTCCTTCATCATGTAATACTCACTTGAAGATACAGTACCATGATCACGGGCACCTGAATAATTATGCACTATACATTACAATATGCATATACTCCAATCTGTCTCAGATTTGGAGTGTTGTGTATAGTTTGGAAGATAGACCAGCGTGGCGTGTACTGTCTCCAAGCCCGCGCGCCGCGTAGTCATGCTGCGCACTGATTGACAGGCGCGCCTGACTACAATTGAGCCCAAGGCTCAAGCCCCCGCGCGTGCTAGGTATGCCTACCCGCCTTGGATACATGCATAACCCCCTCTGGGTTACCAGTATCCAAGAAATGGGCCACAAGCGCCACAGAATCCTCACTACACGTGACAACAAAGCCTCCACACGTGTAATAAATATATAAACAAGCTAGAATATGCATGAAAATACTACAGTAACCTAGAATATTCTATATTCCAAGTGGCAACACGTGTAGCCAGCCTCAGAAACCACCTCTTGGATATTCTGTGGCCCATTTCCAAGGAAATAGCTCCACGTAACAGACTAGCCCCTACCCACAGGCTCCTAAGGGATATTCTTGGTTCAAATAAATTCGTGCATGACCCCTTGGAGCTTCTAGAATATTATCCCCAAGGTTTCAGCCCTTGTTGCGTCACCATGTGGGCTAAAATGGGCCCAAAAGCGCTCCCAAGACCTACTAAGCTCCCCTGAGCAACCCCTGAGACCTTCCACAGGTATTTAAAGGGCCTTCTGACCGCCCAAATAATGATCCCCCAGCTTTACAATACTATATAGAAACATACTTACCATTTACAAGTCCCCTACACTTGTAATTAGCCTAGTTACTACTATTATTGCTGTTATTAAAGCCTCAAAATTCCCCAAGAAACTCAACAGTTATCACCCAGCACCCAAAACCAACCTTTCTGAGCGCTCCCAACTGTCCAGTTTCAACTCTGAAGATCCTCAAGACCCCATAGGATTATTACTAGTAAGTAATAACCCTTTTCTTGAGATTTTCCCCTTAAATTCTTCCTGGGATTTAAACCACACCTGTTCACAGGCCCCAGTGTTCCAGGTACCTAAATCCTCTGCTTTTGCACGATACCTTAGAGGGATTAAACCACCCCTGATTCATCAGGCACCTCTGGTTTTATTTATATTAATTTTATTAATATAAATTGGCCATTTTTCCTACTAAATTTACGCCATAAATTCCTTATTTTATTGGAATTTATTCCTTTAGAATTAAAACCAAAAACCTTTAAGCTTTTTGCTTGCTTTTGCACCTCGTGTAGCTAGAAGATTATACATCTTGGCATCACGTAGGCTGACAATTCTACAGTCAGCTCTGTGTTGGACCATAACGGTTTGCGGAAAGATTGCGCCTTAGTGCAAAGGGAAGGATTTGAGCAGAACGAAAGAAGCAGATTGCCGAGTTTATTGGAAATCACAATACGGCTATATGACTGCCATGGCGTCCCAAGCCAAAGCCAAACTGGTTTCAGGAATTTTGAGTACATCGCAAATGTATGTCTATCGTCGCGTCCTTCAGCAGCCTTTCTTAATCATCTAGGTTAATTTTGTAAATGTTGTACTTCTTGCAGTGTAAATCTCAGCGACTTAGTCAAGGTACATAGCTTTTAAAATCTGGATATGATTCGACTCGGACGAATCTGGCTCACGGTCCTTCTGTGTCGCCTGGAGTGTGTCATCACCGCTCTTCCTGAAGAACTGTTCCTCTCGAGGGAGCCGGTCAATCTCAAGAGTGACAATGCAGATGTATTCAAAGGCCTTGATCTCACTTTCTTGGGATCCCGACAGCCGAAGAGAATTTCTGAAGAGTTTGACTTTTCATATAATCCCGAGAACGATCCATTTGGTGAGATATCATGCTAAGACTGGCAGCTAATGGGTGGCTGACATTTCTGTTCACTTTGTAGATCTATTTCCTACGATAGGACTCAGTGTCTCTGAGGAGAAAGGTTAGCTGGAACGCCGCTCGATTCACTTCCTCACTTTGCGCCATGGGCCATCGGCAATTCATTGCTTATAAATTTGCAAACCTTTTCGGGTTGAAATTGTCCAGGCGGACGACATGCTGCTCAGGACCAGGAAGCCGAGTCGTATCACAGAAGAGACGCAGTATCGAACGAAAGATTGCAAGTCAATCAACAAATACAACCACCTATCAGTCAAGTGCATGCCATCGTCCTCCCAACCGAGCCACATGCAGAAACTTCCGAAGCCGTTTTGGAAGGCCAGCCGGATGACATCAAACCAATAGGATCGAACAGAAGATTGAAAGTTGATGACCAAATCCAACGATCTATCAACCAAGTTCGAGAGCCCATAAGAACTGAAGTGGATTCTGAAGGGTCCGAAATCGCTTCGGGAGCCGAGTGGTATGGCAGAAAACGAGTAGGATCGAATAATACAAAAAGATTGAAAGGTGATCAGGGAATCCGACAAGCCATTGACCAATTCCCGACCCTGGTGAGCACCGAGACGCATGCTGAGAGCCCTGTTTCCAAGGCAGAACAAATGAGAAAGCCGGAAAGAAATCATACCAGAAAGGTCAGTAGTCAAACCGGAAAAAGAATGAAAGATACCGAGAAAGATCATAAGTATACCGCAAGAGACAGTAAATATACGACGGATTATGATGCGCGATACTTTAAAGGGAAAGACGATTCGATGCTTGTTCTTGTTCGTCGCGCGAAGGAAGCCCTTGACCACCAGACCATTTCAGAAGCAACAGAATTCGAATTGTTCCGAGGACGGGTGAATGAACAATTCAAGGAGATCGCTGGCTGGTACAAAAGCACATCGCCAGATAGGATATTTAAAATTGGAGGCTTGGAAACCATCATACGCAAGCTCAGTATTGCATCGGAGGATGGAGAACGATGCTGCTATCATGTCAACATCTGTCTGCCTCTGAGGAGCATGTCTAATCATGGGCTTCCCATTAAGCTCAAAATCAACGCACTCTTGACGGCATTAGATCTTCTTCATAACTTGGTCCGTCTCAATGGATTGGATCGTAAGATCTTGAGAACAACGGAACCCAATCACAAAAGACTCTTTGAATGGGTTTACGATCTGATCTTTGCGGATACCCCAGATCACCTCCCTCTCCTGGGCAAGTCCCAAGTCAAACTACCAATAAAGACTGGCGACAAGGCTTTCAATGAGGCTCAGAGGTTTTTACACGTCTATTTGACCAAGCCAAAGCGGATAGGTGAATTTGCTGCTAGTATAGCGGCACTCGATCTTCTGGAACTTTGGTACAAATCGCAGCTCTCAGAACTTGAAAAATCTACCTTCTCCTCACAGGAGTATAAGAAATTTCTTTTCAGAGCAGTGCAAAGATATGTTCGCAGTTGATACTGCTGAAGATATTCTACAGAACAAAAAGAAGTCTGTTCCTTTCAAAGTAAGATTGGTGATAGAGTTGATCAATGTCTTTGAAATTTTGTTTTACTTCATTAATAATGCTCAAGCATCAATCAACTAATTGGCACAACTGGATTGAATGCTTGGAATATTGACTGTGTGGTTTCAAGAATAATTGCAAGTGGGATATACTGTGTCTGCTTGAGCCTGAGACAATTGGTGTTGATATTTGAATTGATACATGCCTGAAGCAAGATCCCATCATGAGCAAAAAATTAATTTTTGTGGAAAGAAAGATTGGTTTGTGGGACTTGCAATCAAAGAAAATCCACTGAATACACCACCTTATGATTTATGGTTATATAGGGTTTTGTGGTGGCTTGAGAACCTCCAACATTGTAAAATTGTCTCAAAAGGCAACTGAATCAACTGATGGATAATTCCTAATTTCCTATACTTTGGTGCACATGGATTTTGAAATGGCAACTGTTACCCATGGAAGCTTAGTATCATATAGCGGATAAATTAGAAATTCTGATATTTGAATCCTGGACATCCCAATCCCTGGCTGCTCCTACTTCAAAATTACAAGATAAATACACAAATTCACTGCACCCTCAAACAACTCCACATCCTTTCATACAAATTTGGTTGACAGAATAGCTGCCTTTCTTAATCTCAATTAAATGTGTGTGTATAGATGTCTGAATTAAGTCAAAAAACAGCTGGACCTTGTAAGTTGTCTCACAGAAAATGCAAACAGATATGTTTCAGTAACTCTACAATTATTTTAAGATCAAAAGGCACATTCATTTCCTGGAAACTTCCACTGAATTTCACGAAACACATTAAATTCTAATGAACTTCTAGCAGGAGAAATTACAAATCAATTTCAATCAGCTCTATATAATCAAATTTCAAGAGGTCCACTTGAAGGATCATTGAGTAAGATGATATCTCAGTGCTTGATCACCAAGTCAATCTGAGTGTCCCTCTGAGACTACAACACCTCACAAGAAAGTTTCCATTGGGTCAAATCCAGGTGAATTGAAAGGGGTAGTTTATGTATTGTTTACTCTGTGTATTTTTTAATATCATTTGGTTGAGGTGGTTACAAAAAATATTGTGTGGCGGATGTTTTTTCAGCCTTTCAATATGCCACAGTCCCATGATGGGTTTGTTGTGTTTACAAATTTAGCCAACCAGGATGGTCTGAAGAAGTGTTTTCGTTGATCTTCACCATCAGTAGTGTTCTGAGGGTCCTTGCTCAGAAGTTCCTGGCATGGAAGTGGTAGCGGCAGGACAAATGCCATTGTGTATGATATCTATCGCAGGGTGATAACATGGTCGAGGGACGTTTCTGTTTGAATAGCCAGGGTTTATGGAGAATAATGCTGAACACTCTAAGTCTCCGCACATAAGATAGGCCTTGGGGACTTCGTTTGGACAGTTTGACCTTGAGCCTGAGGGAAACTTGCAGTTGCATGGACCACTGGCTGTGAGTTTGAATTTTTTTATCTGTTCTGATGTACACGGGAAGCCTTCTGCATTTTTGCACCAGGGGCACAGAGGACGCTGTGGTGCTTGGACAACTGCAGTGATCATGACAGCCACAGTGAAGAGAACCACAGTGGCTTGCAGATTCATGGTGTCGGGGGTTGATTCTGTTGGGAATTGAAGCTGGGAAGTGGATAAATGGGGTTGAGGGTGTGATGCTGTTAATCTGTTACACTATTCCAGCAGTGATGATTTGTGCCAATCTGAAGCTAATATATAGTTGCAAAAGGAATTTAGCTAGCCTTGTTCACATAGTTTATTGTTTGCAAATAATATCTACATATTGTACTGATTTCAAAAATCAGCAGCCAAACCTTGGAAACTTATTCTTGCTGATTTTCCAGGAAAGTCTCAAGGATTGGTGGACATCTGCCTTTTGGATGCCCTTGTATTACAATATAAAAGAAAACAGATATACTTTCAAAGTTCTAAAATCATTCCAAGATAACAAATAGGATAAACAATTTCATGGAAATTTCCGCTGAATTTCAGAAAGAAAATATCAAAGTCTCATGAATTTATAACAGGAACACTTACAAAGAAATCCCAATAGAATCTATGCCAAATTTCAAAATTGATAGTTTGTTGTAAACTGGCCAAGTAGATCTGATTGTCACCATGAGACTAGTTATACACCTCACCAGTGAGTTTATTGGGTCAAATCCAGGTAAACTGGAAGGGGTGGTATATTTATGGTTGATCCTATATTGCATTTTCCTTCCCATTGAGCTCCAAATCAACGCACTCTTGATGGCATTAGATATTTTTCATAACTTGGTTCGTCTGAATGGATTGGATCACAAGATCTTGAGAACAACGCAACCAAATCACAAAAGACTCTTTGAATGGGTTTACGATCTGTTGTTTGCGGATACCCCAGATCACCTCCCTCTCCTGGGCAAGTCCCAAGTCAAACTACCACTAAAGATTAGTGACAAGGCATTCAATGGGGCTCAGAGATTTTTACATGTCTATTTGACCAAGCCAAAGCGGATAGGAGAATTTGCTGCTAGTATAGCGGCACTCGATCTTCTGGAACTTTGGTACAAATCACAGCTCTCAGAACTTGACAAATCTACCTTCTCCTCAAAGGAGTATAAGAAATCTCTTTTCAGGGCGGTACAAAGGTATGTCTGCAGTTGATACTGCTGAAGATATTCTACAGAACAAAAAGAAGTCTGTTCCTTTCACAGTAAGATTGGTGTTAGAGTTGTCCAATGTCTTTGAAATTTTGTTTTAATTCATTAATAATGCTCAAGCATCAATCAACTAATTGGCACAACTGGACTGAATGCTTGGAATATTGACTGTGGTTTCAAGAATAATTGCAAGTGGGATATACTGTGTCTGCTTGAGCCTGAGACAATTGGTGTTGACATTTGAATTGATACATTCCTGAAGCAAGATCCCATCATGAGCAAAATAATAATTTTTGTGGGAAAAAAATTGGTTTGTGGGACTTGCAATCAAATAAAATCCACTGAGTACACCACCCTATGATTTATGGTTATACAGGGTTTTGTGGTGGCTTGAGAACCTCAGCATTGAAAAATTCTCTCAAAAGGCAACTGAATCAACTGATGGATAATTCCTAATTTCATATACTTTGATGCACATGGATTTTGCAATGGCAACTGTTACCCATGGAAGCTTAGTATCATATAGTGGATAAATTATAAATTCTGATATTTGAATCCTGGACATCCCAATCCCTGGCTTCTCCTACTTCAAAATTCCAAGATAAATACACAAATTCACTGCACCCTCAAACACGAGCGTAACAAAGCCCGCGAGCACCCGTAGGCGTGAGGTGCAAGCGGGGCTTATGCCTGACCGACACAAGTCGGCATGAGGCTATGTAAAGAATATGCGGAGGGATTTTTTGTTTTCAATTTTAAAATCATTCAATTTTTTATGACTCTCATCGTTTGATCCCAGCTGAGCGCTGGTATGATGTCCTGAATCCTGTCGATTCAGTTTCCTCACAGTATCTATTGTACTTTTTCTATCTTTTTTTGAAAACATACACTTCTTGTAAGTTTCTCGGTCCTTTAATGTTTTCTCTTTTAGCCAATAAAGATTTTAATTTGCCAAATGACCGTTGAGAAAGAAAGCCATACCCTTGTATGAAACGGAACACATGTGAACTACTCATAAGTAGAGAGAGAGAGAGAGAGAGAGAGAGAGAGGAGAGAGAGAGATCGACCAAGAAAAAAAAGCGAAAACGATCAACAAAGAAGTAAGCAGAAATAAAAAGAACCCACCCAGATATTTACATCTTCATCGATCTCACTCGCTGATACACAACTGTGATCTTTTTTCATTCAGAGATAGAGAGAGATTGAAAGGAGAAAACATCGACCACCAGCAGGTCGGACCATCGTTGTCTAGCTTACGACCGCTCGCAAGGTTGGAAACAGATGCTTGCGAGGTTAGAAACGACGAAACGACTGCTCGCGAGGTCAGAAACAACTGCTTGCGAGGTGAGAAACAACTGCTCGAGAGGTAATTAGAAACATATGATTGCGAGGTTAGAAACGTATGATCGCGAGATTCGTAATCGGATGATTGCGAGATTTGTAATCAATCATGTTGGAGGTTTTATTCGGAAACGGAATCGGTTTATCAATGAAAACATAGCAAACCAATACTTTAGCATTTGTTCAGTCTGGAGGCTTCAACAAAGCATACCTGTATCTCCAACTTTCGAACGATCCAAATCGGTTTGCGTTTGAGGTGTTGATTTGATTGGTCAGTGAGGTGTTGGTTAGGTTGTATTCGCAACAGAGACTGTATGCGGCGGGTAGGGAGAAGCGTTAAAAAAAAAGACAGCCGTTGAGAAAAAGGCGAAAACCATAGAAAAAAAAATGTGCTATAAAAAAAAGAGCACTCCAAAAAAGCCATGGCCTTGCTGCTCAGCGGCCATGGAAAATCATGAAACTCAAAGTTTCATGAATTTATTTTATCATGAAGGAGGATACTTATTAAATTTCTTAATTGACTGTTCCATAAAGAAAAATACAAGATCTAAACTATGAAGAAGAAAAAAAAACTCCTTGAAAACTAAGGGCTGCAGGTGCTCACAGCATCGACTGCCACCAAAGCTTGCACATTCCCTCAAGCGGAAGTGCTTCATTATTCCCAAGTCCTCTCCCTGCGGGAGAGTCCCTGGTGCTTGCACACTCAACAAGCGGCTACAGTGCACCACGCCGCAGCAGGGACTTGGGCTTGTGTTAAGTTCGCCTCAAACAAATCCACATTCTCTTATACAAATTTGGTTGACAGAATAGCTGCCGTTTTTAATGGGCATTAATAAAAAAACACGGCTTTTCCGCGTTTACACGCGGTTTGGCTGCGGCACAGCGCACACGGTGTGGTGTTCTAAACGGTACAGGCCCCCTCAAGGTCCAATTTCAGAATTCAACTTTCAACTC